GGTCTTCCATACAGACCGAGATTTGCTTTTTGTTCGAAAATAGAGATTCTCAACTTTATGCTTAGTACAAATAGAACAAGACTTCAATCATATGTACTCACCAACCAACACCCGATGATTTATGTAGTCAATATCACGCCGTCCGCCTTTACTTCCCGGACATTTCTTTGTACCAACTTTAACTGAATAATTCTAGGAATTTTACAGGGGGTAAAATGCGACTCGCTGCAGAGTTAAACTCGTGACCCTTGAACTAGTATGCGAGCATCTAGTGGCTATGGTGAAGTACATGAAGTGTAATGATTGTAAAGCCCTTAAAAGATTGCAAAAGTTAGGGAAGAGAAACGATAAAAAAGGGAGTGAGAAAAAAAGAAAAGTCATTTTTCAAAACCTGTTCCCCGAACAAAAGCGAGTCGGGATACTGAAAAGGCTGATGTTGACTTCTGAAGTCAAAACCAGTTGAAAAACGACAATGAAAAGATGCGTAAACAGCCCTTTTGTCCCAGTAACCTCTGTCTTTACGTTCTAGATGATTAATATGTCTCTAGCTGGTTCAGTAGTGCACAACATCTTGTGACTGCTGGTCATTGACCAACCCTCATATTTTGATGATGTATATTCACATTTGTCGGCTATGTGGCTAAGTCGATGCGAACGCTTCGTAATGTCGGGATGCCGGGTTCGATCCCAGCTGCGGGCCATGCGCCTTGCTTTGGTTTCGACAGCGGTATCAAGAAAGCCGACCATCCAGAATGCAATGGCAAACTACTGGACGTAAATTTGCCTAGAAAAACCACACAACAGCCAGGGGCTGTCACAACAGCCAGGGGCTGTTGGGTTGGTTCTGCAACGTCCTGTAAAGGATACGCAACTAACCTTATATTCACATTTAATATTAAACAGCCTTAAAAATCTTTGGTTAAGCACCACCAAGGAGATAAAAATTAGAATTTTGAGAGCATGCATCTTTCCTGTAGCTACATACGGATGTGAGTTGTGGACTATCTCTCAGTCCCTAAGAAAGAGAATAGGGGCTTTTGAGCTGAAATGCTATAGAAAGATTCTCAGAATATCTTAAACAAAGAAGATGAGAAATATTGACATCTTAAAAGATCTGAAAATCAAGGAAGATTGGCTAATAAACAGCATCCTTTCACGAAAGCTGAAATATTTTGGTCATATCAAGCGCCACGACGGATTGGAAAAAATTATAGCAGAAGGCATGGTACCAGGAAGGAGGAGCAGGGGCCGACCAACGCGAAGATGGGCACGGGATATAAGTGACTCTTTGAGTGTGAAAGTTCATGAGGCGGGTGAACTGGCGAGAGACCGAGTTTCTTTCAGGCAGACTGTGATGAGAGCGACGTTCTGCAAAGGACCTGCTACATGATGATGATGATGATGATAATAGATAGTTACAAGTATATGTTAGGTTCCGTATACAGGTGTGGCGTTTTATTGAATAATGCTCGTTGACAAGTTCGGTTAATTTAGTATTTTTTTTAAAATAATTAATTAGAAGTCATACCAGTCTGTTTTAGACTGATTTTAAGTTTTCGTCTTTCAGCGTGCACACACAATTATTGTGCAACATACCCACTTCCGGTGCACTGTTCATTAAATAGTGTTTGTTTTTACTTTGACATGAAACAACGATAGAAATACGTCATAAATAAAGTACCAATTCAAGAGGTATTTTTGCTGCCACATTGGATGCTCAAACATCCTTGACTAGTAAGTTTCATTTGTATCAGTGAAATCTACTCTAATTGTTCATTTTTTACTCTAAAAATCTTCTTTTGGTCTCTGGTCCCTCAGTCCAGCACTTTTTCGTTGAGTTTGAGTTGAGTGTTGACAGATCAAGTTAAGTACTCTTTCTTACTTTATTTTTTGAATTACTTTGTTTTCCCTTTTGCGTATTGACTTAATATATTCAATTTTACAGTACGCTTTTAGTATTTACTGTTTACACGAAAAAGGTTTAAAGCTAGACTCAAACATTCATCTTGTCTTCTACTTCTAATTTAACCTAGTTTTACAATTACAATCATTTGTTGTTTATTTAGTCTCCTTCTTAGCCTAAAGCCTTGTTGAGTAGTTCAGTTTAATAAGTTTGTTGTTTTAGTTTTACTGACTGTAATAATTTTCGTTTAGGTACTTTGGTAACATTTTCCTAAATTATCTTTAAATATGCAACTGTTGTATTCCACATGAAAAAAGAAACCCAACTAGTTCAACTACTACCTCATATAAGTATAAGCCTCTACGGCAACGTCAGTTCGAGTTCTAGGCAAAGCGGAGACAAGATATTAGATAATAATTCAGTTAATAATTGTTAAGCCATATTAATATTATGTAAATATGGAGGAAAATACTTTTTCTGTATTTTTGAAAAGTCATTATGATTGTACAGTCAAGTCAAACAGGCTGCAATTGTTATTGTTTTCATTACTCAGTGTCCTTCCACTTGTAATACTCGTATCACTGCCTAATTCTTGCTCACTTGCTGTAAATAAACCCTGACAGCAACCTAATGCTCTGAACCACTGATGCTATATTTCTCCTGTTCAACTCATGAAGTCAGATGCAAAGAAAGGACATGTGTTGACAATGTATAATAATGCTGTGATTGAACTTACTTTAATAAGAAACATTTTTATATTGCAGCTATTGGCTGTCTTCTGAATAACGGTCCCAAATTATCGAGACAGAAAATATACCCTAGCAGGGCCTCAGTCACATGTCAATTGTGGACTTCCGGCGACTTAAATTGCACACTTCCGGCAACTATCGCCACCGTATCTTCAACGCCGCTACGCGCAGCGTGGATTGGGGATAAACTAGATGGCTGGAACTCACGAGCAGCAGCTACCGCATCTCCTGTAGCTTTCTTCATTTTATTTGCTCGTGAGTCCCAGCCATCTCATCATCATCAATTCTCGTTATGCCTAGTGGCACATGAGGCTTCAGAGAGGACTTTCCATGCTTTCCCGTCCCGTGCAATCCCCATTGCAGCCCTCCATGTCAAAGATGCCGCACCTAGGTCAGCCTCCATGCAGCCCCTGTGCGCCCCTGTTTTCTCTCTCCCTCCGGTGTCCATGTGAGAGCCGCCCCGGCAGGTATATCAGAAGTCACACCCACAACGCGGCCAAGCCACCTCCATCCTCTCCCGGCAATCATACTGTCTAAAGTCTCTTGGTTTGTGGCTTGAAGTAGTTTAGTGTCTGAGACTGTATCTGGCCAGAAAATTTTGACAATTCCACGTAGACATGTGTGGTGGAAGGTGGACAGCCCGCGTGCATCCCCCCTGGCCACTCTCCAGCATTCCGCTCCACAAAGAAGAACTGGCAAAATGATGTTCCCATAGAGTCGGAGTTCCGCTCCCCCGCAGCAACCGCTGGACCTCCAGATTTGCCCCATCCCTCCAAAAGCAGCTCCAGCTTTGTTCAGACGTGACCTCATGTCCTTCTCTGTCCCTCCCAGTAGGGACACCACACCGCCAAGACATGTGAAATGTTCTACATTTTCAAGTGATTGGTTACCCATGGTCACTGGCCGTCGGCCTGGACTGCCCGTCATGATCTTAGTTTTCTCTGTATTTATTCTCAGTCCCACCATCTCTGCCGTGCAGTTTAGTCTGCCACTTTTCTCTTGCATATGCTCATGTCTATGCGACAGGAGTGCCATATTATCCGCAAAATCAAGGTCCTCAAGCATGGCGAATGGAGTCCATCGCATGCCTCCTAACGTCCCGTGCACTGTGCCCCCCAGTATCCAATCAATCACAAGGCCGAAGAGGAGAGATAACACAACACATCTCCGTCCCACACCTGTGCCCACTGGGAAAGACGTACTGCAATTTTCTATACCGCAGGAAAAGTCTTTAATAGAAGAGAGCAACCATGTTGACTATTTTTTCTGGAATTCCATAATGTCGCAAAATTTTCCACAGACCGTCTCCATGGACACTGCCAAATGCCCCCCCCCCCCCCAAGTCCACAAAATTAATACACCTCTCTGCCATTCGTTGCACCGCTCCAAAATGTTACGTATGGCGAAGATGTGCTCAGCTGTCCCTCCGCCCCCTCTGAATCCCGCCTGTTCCACTCGCAGGCATCCATCTACTCCTTCCTCAAGCCGCACTATGATGATCTTACAAAATATTTTGCTTGGTACCGAGAGTAGAGCCATCTAGTTTAGCCCATCTAGTCCACGCCGAGCGAAGTGGTGGAAGTCCGCAGTTGACATATGACTGAGACCCTGTTTGGGTATTTTTTTGGCCTCGATAATTTAGGACTGTTATTCGAAAGATAGCCTAATTATTTTTTTTTTTAAATATATGAAAAGAAAATAATCTGTCTTTTTATTTCACAATGACAACATCAGAATTAGGTAGCTCAGTGATAGAAGTGAAAATATATGAAGTAAAAGATTTAGTTTGTAAACAACCCACAAATGTGAAAAGGTAGTAAAGCTTTATATAGAGAGAAAATTTCAAATAACAGAGAGGTACAAACTGTACACAAGAGATTAAAATGGTCATAGATCACGAGGCAGGCCAAAAAGACAGTGGAGGGATAATTAATATACAGGCAGACCTGCAAACACTTTGAGTCAACAACCGGAAAGATAGAACTAATCACAGAGATGAATGGAGATGGATAATAACTGCAGCAGTGAACCTCAAAAGTTTGGAATGCTGAAGAAGAAATAAAGCTTTATAAAAATAAAATCAACATCATCCTGTCCTGATGTTATACATCACAAAGGGCTGGCTGTCTAGTCCTTCTTTCTGCCTTCTTCTTTTTTATAATTGTTGATACAAGCCATTGTCCAGACGTTTCTCTTATTTCATCTTCCTTGAATTCATCACAGTTAGTGATAATCAGTTTTCATAGATATTTGGTTTTAAAAGCATTTAAATTTAATTCCAAAAGCTTTAAATAATGTAATTCAAAATATTTTTTTTCAGTTTGTTGCTGAATCCTCAATAAATTAAGATGTCTTTCCAACTTAACTTACCACCATCCATGGTGGCCAAGAAATTGAAAGAAGAGCAAGGAGAGGATGGAGACGAACCTCGAAAACAGTCTAGAGAAGAATGGAAGAAACAGCGAGAGCTGGAAGAAATGAGAAAAGCTGGTACTGCTCCTGCTATGCAAGATGAAGAAGGAAAGTAAGTAATCATTCTGTGTTGTTATTGTTTTTGATGCATTTGTATTTGGGCTGAAGAAGGTTAGATGTCTAAATTCACTACCTTTCGATTGGGAGCCATCGTGCCTAAATGCTTGGTTGCCAGCACAAATGTCTTGGGTTCAAATTTGCATTGAGGCAGATTTTTTCCTAAATTGATCTTGGCTCCTAGGTTGGACCAGCCCAAATAGATTACAGGTGATGTTCTGTGAAGTAAAAACTGCAAGTGTAATGTTGACAACATCACCCATCCAGTGCCGATATTGCTGTAAAATACATTTGTGTGCCCCTGCACCACTGGTGTAAAAATAAGAGGTCCCGAACATTTTTTTTTCAAATCATGGGATTGGATGAAGTATACCATCTTGTTTTTTTAATACATATTTACACATGTGTACATGCCAATCGGCGTCTGTGGCTTAGGTGTTGTAAACGCGCTTCAAAATGACAAGGTACCGAGTTCGATCCCAGATGTGGGCCTTGCGTTGGTTTTTGCATTTGTATCGAAAAGCCCAGAAAGCAGTGGCAAACTACTAGACATAAATTTGCCACGAAAAACTGCGAAAAAATACAGGGTTTGGTTCTGCAACGTCCTGTAAAGGATTCGCAACTAATTTAACATGCCGTGATTGAAACCAACCTGATCTGCAGATGTCATCACCTCTAGCCTGACCCAACCCCTTAATTCTTATCAACTTGTTTCATTGCTTCCAAAAAGTTTGGCATTATTAACTGTGGCAGCAACAGTTGTTTTGGAACAATCATGACATTTAACACAGGAAGTTTTTTCCAATCATTAGTTGTTAGTCAGGCTCTGGAGATGTGGTTTTACAGAAGAATCATTAGAATTCTTTGGAGAGTTAAAAAAGCGATCTAGATAGTTTAAAAGAGGTGAGGGATAAAAAACAACTCATCACAAACATTTGAAAGAGATTGTCATCATTTTTGGGGGTCATGTTATGACAAGAGGGAAACTGGAACATTTTGTGACCAGAGGAAAGAGGGACAGGAAGACACTCAAAAAGATTCTTGAAAGCCTTTTATCAAGGCTTGGAGGGGTGTCAACACACAAACTGATACGCGCAGTTGCAGATTGTGGAGAGGCATGATTGCCCACGCCAGTCGGCAAGGCAGTTGATGATGATGGGTCATTAGCCGAGGTTCCAATTTCCCGGCAGATGATTGTCCCACAACTGCTGTGTTCCTGTGCTAGTGGAAATCACACAAAATGTCCTTCACTATCCCATTTGAAAATAAGTGAAAATTGGTCATCTCAGTAAAATCTTGAAGCTTGTGCATACAAAGTAAAAATGCATAAAGCAGTCAAATGTGCCAACACTAACGGTCCCACACCAGAATTGCAGCTCGCTTGGTATAAATGGTAAAACACAAAAGCCAGCATTGCACCTGCAAAGTACACGCCATTCTGAATGTAATCGGTCTCTCAGCAATTTAATGCAGTGAACAAAACGCTATGGACCCAACAGAGAAAAAATATTCAGCATGAAATCTGCAGCTCGCAGTGCTGCACCAAGCACTCCGATCAGTAGCTGGGTGACAGAACCTCTGTACTTCCAGCCCAGAAATTTGGAATTTTCATCACCAGAACCTAGCTGGAAACCAAATAACTTTTTAGAAAGTAAGCTGGCTATCAGCCATTTTGGCCAGACGTTATTTTGAATAGTTTAGAATAGTAATTGCTATGTCATAAATAATCTTTTGCAAGACAGAAAGCATACAAACTAATAAAAGATGGCAAAAAAAATTGCAATATAAAGACTTAAAACCTGCAAAAGCTTTAAGTCAAGAGGATCGACTTAATTGCAAAAGGTTTTGTCTCATATGGCTCTTTAAAATCAAGAGCATCAACTTCTTTGCATCAGGTTTTGTCTCATATGGCTCTTTAAAATCAAGAGGATCAACTTCTTTGCATCAGGTTTTGTCTCATATGGCTCTGTCTGTCGCAGCAAAACAATTAGCTGCCTGCCATTATCACACAAAGCTTGAATTCTGTAGCTCCAGTGATAGACCCAGGGTTCTTAGTAAAATGTGTACTGATAAGCCAAACAACGCAGTCCATGAAGCTAATCCATGACCCATAGAGTGCTAGGGAAATGGCTTGACCACTTAGCTGCGGAAACCTCTAAACATGAGTATGTAGATTCCAAGAAACAAAAACAGACAAGCTTAATATATTATAATATTTTGTGTCTTTCTTTCCCCCAATTACTAGAGACATCAACCCACATATTCCGCAGTATATTATGCAAGCTCCATGGTATTTTGGTGCAGAGACTGCAACATTGAGGCATCAGCGGCAGCAGGATGAGAAGCTTCCAGAATATGCTCCCTTAGGGATCAGTTTTAAGAAAGGATTGAAAGAAGTGAGTTATATCTAATTAGACAAGCTTCATATTGTTATATTTTTGCAGTTCTTTTTGATATTTTAGTTTTGCATTGTCTGAAGCATATGTTCGCTATTGTGGCCACCCGTTTACATAGGCAAAGGTCCGAGTCCCTAATCATAAATTTCCCTCACATATGGATGGAAGTCTGTTGTGTTCAGTTCACAGTCTAAATAAAAATGGACTGTTGTTTTTGTGCAAGGTGATTGGTTGAGTCTTTGGTGTTCTGGATAGGAAGTATGAATGCTTGTGATTTTCATGCGATGCTTGTTTCGGAAAGGTGGTTAGTGTTTCTTTATTCAACATTTGCTCAGGTAACAAAAGAGCATAGCTAAATCTGGCATGTTTTTCCTGGGTTGGACAATGTCTTCAGAAGACAGGAACAAAATAGTGACAATAGAAATTAAATGTTTATGTGCTATACTAGGTGAAACGAGGAAAGATCTACTTATGAACGATGATATCAGGAGTAGAATCGGCACAAAACCAATACTGAACTTTATTGATAGACAACAAATCAAATGGTTTAGCCATGTAACAAAAGTGACAGCAGACAGGGCACCACAGAGAGCAGTGTGATGCTGATACAGCGGTAACAGAGCCAGGGTCAAACACGCAAAATATGGGCCGCACAAATACCAGAGACGCTCAAACGTGCTATATACAAAGCGAACAGAAGGACCCGTTCCAGAGATCTCTTCTTACCCTGATGCCCTGAGGCATTCCAGGTGTAGAGAAAAGAAGATACAGAAGTTTTCCCGGTCTTTGAATTTGCATTGAGACACATTTTTATATTTAACTCACATCACAGGTTGCTCCAGCCAAAAATGTGTACTAGAATGTGTCCTCGGAATTAAAGGTGACCAACAGGACATCAACTCTTATCGCCCCCTTGAGTGCCAGTTCTGTATACTCTTTATTTCACTGTTGATACACAAGGCTGCTTTTTTCATTCTTGCCTTGCCTTTTCAGGGACCTATATCAGTGAAGTTCCGCAAAGGAGCTTGTGAAAACTGTGGTGCGTTGACACACAAGAAGAAAGATTGTCTGGAGGTGAGTGTTCCTCTGGCAGGAATTAATGCTGTGGTAGATGGAAATTATAACAGAATGGTTTCATCTTTTCTATGTATTCTGGTTTTTTCTTACATTCTGATTTGGGGGTACTTGAGCAGGCTGAAGGACTGGCTGCTGCTCACCCGCTGGGCGGTGAGGTACTTTTTAATAAAGCTGATGTGAGGGGGGGGGGGGGTGAGTTATGGTTCTTGAAGACAATCAACACTGAGTGGGAAACAGGCAGGCTTTTCATCAAGTTACAAATGGTACTGTTAGCAAATTGACTCTTTGATGGCTACTGAGTGCAGTGTTGTTTGTTCTTGTTTCATTACGTCTGATTTTTATATTACAATATGGGCTGCTCACATCACTTTTGGGGATACATGGCTGCACATTGGCTAGAAGCATTCCTGCCAGCCCATAAATTTTGAGATTAAATGCATATCTTTCTGTATGGGTTATCGACCTAATTGTTTTAAAAAAATGAAAGGAGGAGCAGGAATAGATCCACAACCTCTCTAAGGGTTTCTCTCAAAGTTGAAGTGCATCTTTCTGAGAGGCAAGGAACCAACAGTCTGCAAACAAATAAGCCAGATCTGTAAAATGGAATTGCACACAAAACTTAGGTTCTGGAACAAGACTGGAGTCTACTTTTTTGCCAAGCTCCGCCAGGAACTGAACCTTCAGATCCGCGGGTGAATGTCTGGCCACTACACCATGATGGCCCCTGTATCACTCTTATAGTCTTATAGAGAAGATCAATTAAACTATGGGGTATACAGTGAAGTGGTGAAATAGAGACATTTACAGCATGTGGGAAATACTGGACAAAAGAAGCTTAAGAGGACAAAGTAAGATCTATGTGGGAAGCTTTAACAACTTAGGACAAAAATAATAAACATGACATCAGCTATGTTAGCATATTAAATAGCAGACAGGATTGGAAAGTCCTGGCATCAGCTGTCAACCATATGTTCGAAACATTCTTGTATAAATTGTTCCTGATTATTTATTTTTTCTTGTCTGTAATCAGCGGCCTCGCAAGACTGGAGCTAAGTTTACTGGTTCTAATATTGCCCCTGATGAGTACATAGTTCCTGATGTTAAACTAGACTACGAAGGTAAGAGAGACACGTGGAATGGATTTGATCCAGAGGAGCATCAGAAAAAGCTGCATGAAGAATATAGAGAAATAGAAGAAGTGAGTATATTGAGTATATATAAATTGTGGGTAAAAGGACAAATCAGAATTAAGAACTTTACACTTTCAGGACCACATTTTTTCTGGGTTTAGACAGCATTAATTTTGAACAGATTTTTTTTTACTGCAACACGACAAAGCTAAAACCTTACTGAAGAAAAAGTATTGGCTGTATTGTGACATATAATATATCAAATTAAAGATAAATGAGTGCAGAATAAATCTTAACCATTTAAATGTCAGTATTACAACAAAATATTATTAAAATCACACAACATTCAAGGATGTGAGACACATATGAAGGTTATTGACATAAAAAATTGTGTGCTTACCTTACTTTTTTACTTGTTCAACAACACTGCTATCCAATTCTAAGAATGCACTTGCCTTCTCTGTTCAATTATGTATAAGCTATTCTTGATTTGAAACAATTAATTTAAATACTATGGATGTTATGATCATTTTTGAATGACATGTCAAATTTCACAACGGAAAATCGGGAAAACAGCTGATTGAAATATTTTGTTCAATTTTAATATCTTAAACTAAATTATCGCCAATGGGTTTATCACTTAGATATAAATCATAACATATGGCAGAGATTCATCAACGACAGAGCAGTATGACACTCAGAGATAATTATGTTGAGTCGTTTGGCTTATTGGTCTAAGGGATTCCCCGTGGCCAATATACGATCAACTTATCTCTGGAGTAGGGCAACTCAAGTATTGGCACTACAAAATATGTCATATATATATATATAATATTTCTAGGCACACTTGGCTGGACACCCCCACTACTTACTAAAGAAAGCCCCCAGGTTATGATAGTTCATTATCATAACCATGTTAACACATATAATGAAGATACACATACATACACAACTGCTAAACACTTAAAAAGGTGAAATAGAGACACCTAAGTCAGCCATGAAAATGAATGTATGTAATCAATATAAATTAGATATATAAAAGTGAGACAAATGCCAGATCTCAGGATATCATGTCCAAATCACAAAGATACTACACAGACAGAAGGTCTTGGAGATGACATCTTTTCATCACTGGACACAAGGAGCTGTGAGGAACACAACATCATGCGAAGCATTAGACTTATCTTCTCTTCTCTCTGTCTATGATGCCTCCCTCAGCTCCGGATGATTCGACTGTCTTTGACTCTGGGAATTCTGCTCCACTGGATCAAGTAGTAAGAGTACTTCACTATACAGCAACTGTACCGGTATTTAGCAAGTCTCTATCACCAGTAAGGACACACAATGTCTTTGAGCCACATTAAGCTCTAGTACTGGTAGCTGTTTGAGACACCATCTCCCCATGGGTTGGAGATGTCAGGAACCTTCACAGGTGTTAGCTGGTGGGTAACAAGTTGTTTCTGGTGGTTTGATGGTTGGTGGATGTTGGTGAGACTGTGAATCTTCTGCCAGCTCTTCAGAAAATATACATCCTGTCAAGAAAATAACTCAACATTAGTCATCATCAAGAGGGTAACATCTTGACAGGAAAGACAGAGCAAGCATCAGTCATCAACCCCCATCTGCTGACTCCTCCCTGCTCTCCTGTTTCATTCCTCAGATTGCCTCTCCAGACCAAAAGACATAAGTCTCCTATATTTATCTGTCTGTTTAGTGCAAGAGAAGGCAAGTCAGATATACAGTGGAGATAGATAAAGTGGTCTAACACATATATCACTCTCCCTCTCCCCCTCACTCTGCACACAGACACCAATATTTACTGTCAGTACCTGCATTCACTAGCTTTCCCAACCGCCCCAGCACTCATTGATCTGGGTCAAACACACACATACTTTGATTAACACAGCCCTGACCCAATTCTGTCCCCATTTCGTATGTACAGATTCTGTAAGTAGTTTAAAACGTACACAATTGTAAGGGCATTAAGTTTTAATCAGTATGGGTGGTTTATTGAGGGCATAAGCTATTTAGTCTGTACAGTGGAAGATCTACGTTCGAATCCGCTACTCTAGCGATCAAGAATGGTCGACTAAGTGAGATCACACAGCCGATATGGATTTCTCTACAGCAGTGACTACTTTACAGACATCATTCTAGGTACTCGTAAACTATAATTAACTTACCCAAGCATATGTAATAACTGAGACATTTCCAGATTGCCTTGAAAAGTGAAAGTTATACAGGCACAGATTAACACATCTGGACGCTTGAGAAGCTGGCAAGGAGAATAGCGTCGCTTAGACACTTCAGGCGTTTGTACAAAAGAAGTTCCTTGTATACTGGCGCAAGGAGTAAATCGGTTTCCAAGAAACCTCAAATAACTCCCTAAATATATCTCCAAGAGATATACATTTAAAAGTGGAGTTTAGTTAAAGTAACCAGAAAAGGCAGACATAATAATGTTGTCCAATACAGGCCTATATATATAGATATAAGGGACTATATATTTCTGGGCGAGTCCAAGTTTGAATTTTGTGCAGATTACAGGTAAGACAGGTTATCAGCCTTACAGACCGATGCGTAATGGCTATCATTTCACGACAGTACCCCCCCCCCCCCCCCAAAGGGAAGAGCGTACTACGCGAATGAAAAAATGATCAGCCATTTACACATCTATGGACTCACTACTTTCAGCTTGCTCATCACCTTCAGTCTGTGAATTATCAGACAAGGGATGGCGGCTCAAGAAATCTGCTCTGAATCAAAGGGTTGACCAAACCAACCTCTCAGAGACAGATGAAATATATACAATAATGACAATTCATGTGAAAATAGAGAAACCTATGACCACTATACAATACTACTGAACAAGGAATCTATATAGAATCAGTCGATGGCCCTGAAGACCTAAGACTGATGACTCCATCCATGTATCACTGATCCCTGCCAGGTACATGCAAAGATGTAGGTTCAGACCGAACCCCCCGATCGGGTTGGCTGAATAAACCTACACACCATCCTGGTACTCCTGTCATATTCAGGAAATATACCGGTGTGTCTCCTACATCAGTAGTCACACAGGAAGGTCGTCGAGGCATGTGGGATATAATCCCTCCCGTCTGATCCTTCGCGAGGTTCGGAAGGATAATCCTCCCCTCGTCACTATGTGCTCCAACAAACACAGGAAGGAACCCTGGTGTGAATTGAAAATTCTTCACCTTCTGGTCCTCCTGATGGTCTGGAGGTTTACTCCATTCCTCTTTAAAAAGAGGAGCTTGCACAGGGCATTGACTGAAAGGCTCAACAGGAACCAATGTCGTATCATACTCCAATAATGAAGTTTGCCCTGGCTTAACTCTCAGGACAGAGTTACACTCTGACAAGAGTTGTTCTATAGCTTGTTTCTGAGAGACAGAGAGAGTTGGGTTAACCTCTACATCTTTATAGGTCTCCCTGGGGTGAAGAGGATATTCCACAGCTGTGGCTTCTCCACCTTCCACCTCCATAGCTACAGAAAGTGTCAAGAGGGTCGGTGTGTCACTTACCTCTCTCTCGTTGTATTTCCGGAGGAGATTAATGTGATAGACCTTTGACTTACCTTTAATGTTGATCTTATAATGGATCCTGGATATCTTCTCTACCACCGTATAAGGGCCTCCCCAAGCTAACTCTAACTTAGACTTCCCTGATGGTAGCAGCAAAAGCACCCTATCTCCAACCTCAAGACATCGTTCCTTCGTCTTCCGGTTGAAATGTGCAGCGTACCTCTTACGTGCACGAATCAAGTTCTCTTTAGCCAGGTCCCACCCTAGCTTTAACCTTTCCTTGAGTTCCTGCACATACTGTGATATGGTTTTCAAGGAATCATCTGCCCCCTCGTCTGTCCATGTCTTCCTGAGAATGGCCAAGGGTCCAGAAATGGGTCTTCCGAACACCAAGGTCGCAGGTGGAAATCCAGTAGAGGCATTGGGTACTTCCCGGTAGGCGAATAGTGCTGCAGACAGATACTCGTCCCACCTCTCTGGCTTTTCCTGGGTTAATCTTCTCAGAAGCGATACCAACGTTCCATTGAACCGCTCATTCTGGCCGTTCGCTTGGGGTCGGTATGGACTGGTGCAAATGTGTTGAGACTTGATTATCTGAAACACTTCCTCCATTAGTTTCCCTTTAAACTGAGATCCATTGTCTGTCAGTATCTGCGAAGGGAATCCCACTCTGGTGAAAATGCTCATCAATGCCTCTGCCACAGTCTTACTGTCAATCCTCCGAAGTGCAACAGCCTCCGGATACCCTGAACAACAGTCGACCAAGGTCAATATGTAAGCATTCTTCTTCTTTGTGAGAGGAAGTGGTCCAACCAAATCGACCGCCACCCTTTCAAAAGGTGTGGAGGTGACAGGGGTTTCCCCCAGTCCGACTGGTGCATTCCTGCCTTTGGGAGCTACCTTCTGGCACTCCGGACAGGATTTGACATAACGCATGATATCTGCTGACATACCTGGCCAAAAGTAATGACAGGCAATGCGTTGTGTCGTTGCATGAATTCCCATATGGGCACTATAGGCTATCGTGTGCCCCATCTGGAGAATCTGCTGTCTATATGTTTTGGGTACTACAAGTTGACTGTGCTCTGTATACTTGTCACTTGCCCATCTGTAAAGCAACTTACCTTTCATGAAGAATTCTTTCTTCAAAGGGGGATTGTGACTTGCAGTTAACTTTTAAAAACATGCCTTAAGGGTTGGGTCACTACTTTGGGCCACCTTAATTTCCTCAGGAAGAGGATTTACATGAGGAGAATCCTCTAAGGCACTTTTATGTTGTGCTCGGGTGGTCACCGCAGCAAGATGCTCTGAAGGTTTCTTCGGCTCTGCTAAAAAAATACATAAGTAGCGCCAAGAATTAAATCAAAGGTACAGTGTTCGAGCACTGCAGCCTCAATTACCCCCGAGACATACTTTGAACGGACCTTAATCTTAGCAATAGGCAAGTTTAAAGGTTTAGCATCCAATGTGGCACATTGGAGCTCTATGAATCTGCCAGTATACTGATCAGGTTTTACAAACTCTGGCCTCACCACACAGCCGTATGACAAACCACTATCATACAGACAATTTAGAGAATATCCATTAGCCCAAACCCTCTCTACCACAGGAGGCCTATTGGAACCATTGTACAATTGTTCCTGGGTAGAAGGTACTACAGTAGACAACAAAGCTGATACTTGTAAATTCCCTGACTGTTTGGATTTACATTCCTTAGTCCAGTGGTTATTATTCTTACAAATATGGCAGTAAGGCTTTTTAGGGCCATTAAAGGGTTGTCTATATTGTGTTCCCTGAACTTTTGAGGGGTTCTGGGGTTGTGCTTGGGATGAATTCTTTTTAGGGGATTCATTTGGATGGGTTTTATGACCATTACCATTATTTTTCCCTTGGCCCTGGGCCTTGGGTTTCCCACCTATACACACTTCTTTATGTGCCATCTCATACCTCTCAGCATACATCAACATCTCACTCAGTCTGTCAGCACCATTCTCCGTCAGGAAGGTTTGCATAGGGCGAGGTAATGTCTCTCGGAGTTGTTCCGTTAGGATCATCTCCTGTAAATCTTCAAAAGAAGAGGAGTATCCAGACATTTCCCTCCACCTGGTCAAATATCCCTGAAGGCGACTGGCGAACTGAGGATAGTTCTCCCCTGTCATCTTTCTCTCATTTCTGAACTTCTGTCTGTATGTCGCAGCATTAAGTTCGAAACGTTTCAGTAAAGCCTGACACAATGCATCATAATCAGTCTCAGTACCGGTGGGCATCCGTTGATAAATCTCGTATGCCTCACCCCTCAAACCTTGAGCCAACTTCAGCGTGTACATGTTCCTTTCCAAGTTGTACAAAGATGCCAATTTGCCAAATCGGTCTAGGTACTGTTCAATATTTTCAGCCTTCGGGTCGAAGACTGGCATAGGAAAGTTCATCGCTTGAGCTGAGCTACTGTGCATTGATGCACCATCAATATCAGGTGTTGGAGATCTGGGTCTATTACCCTCTCTCTGAGCCTGAAGTTCCAATTCTCTTAACCTCACCTCCTGTTCCAACTTCATTCTTTCTGACTCCTCCCTCTCAGACTCAATTCGGAGTCTCTTTCAGTTTCGGAGTCTTTCAGTTCTCTTGAATCCTCTCAGATTCTATTCGGAGTCTTTCGCTTTCCTTCTCTGCCTCAATTCTGAGTCTCTCAGCCTCACGGGCTTCCATCCTCATCTCACGTTCCGTGGTTTTAATCCACTCGGTCATTTCTTTACCCTCCAATCCCATCTGGACAGCCATGTCCTTCAATTCCTGTATGGAAATTTTTGACTGCGACATGCTGTCTTGTCAATCTAACAGTCCACAACAAAATATATTGTCACCAACAATGTAAATATAATCAACAATAGATTAAATTATCACCACCAACCAAGGTTGTACCTAACCCAATGTACTTAGACACCACAAAACACCACAATGATTACAAATCACTCCTAGGAGTATACTCTAAGAACTGACCCAGAATGGTCACAACTGTGTTAACAAAAACAAACACTGAACAACTCCTGGCCAAGATCACCAGCAAATTTAAAGATTGAACAGTGTACAAAACAATCCCACGACGAGACCACAGATTTTTGGGGATATGTTGTTCTGTCACATATCACTCCTGTCGCGTGCCTAATGTAAGGATTTCTCCTTCAGAACCAGCAGCACTCAGAGATAATTATGTTGAGTCGTTTGGCTCGTATTGGTCTAAGGGATTCCCCGTGGCCAATATACGATCAACTTATCTCTGGAGTAGGGCAACTCAAGTATTGGCACTACAAAATATGTCAATATATATATATAATATTTCTAGGCACACTTGGCTGGACACCCCCACTACTTACTAAAGAAAGCCCCCAGGTTATGATAGTTCATTATCATAACCATGTTAACACATATAATGAAGATACACATACATACACAACTGCTAAACACTTAAAAAGGTGAAATAGAGACACCTAAGTCAGCCATGAAAATGAATGTATGTAATCAATATAAATTAGATATATAAAAGTGAGACAAATGCCAGATCTCAGGATATCATGTCCAAATCACAAAGATACTACACAGACAGAAGGTCTTGGAGATGACATCTTTTCATCACTGGACACAAGGAGCTGTGAGGAACACAACATCATGCGAAGCATTAGACTTATCTTCTCTTCTCTCTGTCTATGATGCCTCCCTCAGCTCCGGATGATTCGACTGTCTTTGACTCTGGGAATTCTGCTCCACTGGATCAAGTAGTAAGAGTACTTCACTATACAGCAACTGTACCGGTATTTAGCAAGTCTCTATCACCAGTAAGGACACACAATGTCTTTGAGCCACATTAAGCTCTAGCACTGGTAGCTGTTTGAGGCACCATCTCCCACATGTTGGAGATGTCAGGAACCTTCACAGGTGTTAGCTGGTGGGTAACAAGTTGGTTTCTGGTGGTTGGATGGTTGGTGGATGTTGGTGAGACTGTGAATCTTCTGCCAGCTCTTCAGAAAATATACATCCTGTCAAGAAAATAACTCAACATTAGTCATCATCAAGAGGGTAACATCTTGACAGGAAAGACAGAGCAAGCATCAGTCATCAACCCCCATCTGCTGACTCCTCCCTGCTCTCCTGTTTCATTCCTCAGATTGCCTCTCCAGACCAAAAGACATAAGTCTCCTATATTTATCTGTCTGTTTAGTGCAAGAGAAGGCAAGTCAGATATACAGTGGAGATAGATAAAGTGGTCTAACACATATATCACTCTCCCTCTCCCCCTCACTCTGCACACAGACACCAATATTTACTGTCAGTACCTGCATTCCTAGCTTTCCCAACCGCCCCAGCACTCATTGATCTGGGTCAAACACACACATACTTTGATTAACACAGCCCTGACCCAATTCTGTCCCCATTTCGTATGTACAGATTCTGTAAGTAGTTTAAAACGTACACAATTGTAAGGGCATTAAATGTTTATCAGTATGGGTGGTTTATTGAGGGCATAAGCTATTTAGTCTGTACAGTGGAAGATCTACGTTCGAATCCGCTACTCTAGCGATCAAGAATGGTAGAACTAAGTGAGATCACACAGCCGATATGGATTTCTCTACAGCAGTGACTACTTTACAGACATCATTCTAGGTACTCGTAAACTATAATTAACTTACCCAAGCATATGTAAAAACTGAGACATTTCCAGATTGCCTTGAAAAGTGAAAGTTATACAGGCACAGATTAACACATCTGGACGCTTGAGAAGCTGGCAAGGAGAATAGCGTCGCTATGACACTTCAGGCGTTGGTACAAAAGAAGTTCCTTGTATACTGGGGCAAGGAGTAAATCGGTTCCAAGAAACCTCAAATAAGAAATATATCTCAGAATATACATTTAAAAGTGGAGTTTAGTTAAAGTAACCAGAAAAGGCAGAATAATATCTCCAAGATATAAGGGACTATATATTTCTAGAATTCTATGTGTGTATAGTAACTAACTTTTTGTGCCCAACTACTTCCATCAACGACAAACTGCATTTCTGGTGGCGATTGTTGGCTTTGCCACCTCGAGCAACTGAAATACGCGTTTAATGTGCGAACATATTTCTGGATTGTTCCGGAACTAGTTGTTTATTCACCAGTTTTTCATATGCAACAGGGAGGTAGATTTCATTTGATACGCACTGGCACAAGAACGGAGCAAGTGTAGGGAAACCTGATTGTCGTGATGTTGAAACCTTGACTAACCAACTAACTTCTGTCAATTGCTATTTCTGCTACTGTCAGTTTCATTCATTGAGTAAATAATTCCATTTTGAGCTCTTCAGTTTGTATCCTTTCAGCTTTTTCATAGCTAGTCTAAGCGTTCACTTTACCTCCATGCACCACATTTTGCTCATTTGTTTGCTAAGTTATATATATTTATATTTTAGGCAAAACGAACTTTGAAAGAAAAATCACTTGATGAGTCTCTGATGAAGGAAGGTGATGGGGGTAATGAGAAGGAAGCTAAGGTAAGAATGATATAAAGAGTTTATGACTCTGAAGTGTTTATATGAGTGTTTACTTCACAGGCAGTAAACATATATTGTGATTAAAAACTGATTTTTAGTCTTGTGATGTCATAATTCACCTTTACCCTGCTCCTGCGCAACTTGGTGGTGAAATGATGCATGGCATTGACAAGACAGGTGTTGTAAGTGCCTTTTGGGAGTGAGTGAAGAGTGCAGAGGCACAGATGGATCATCACAGTCTGAGGAGAAAGTTGCTGCGAGGAGTGCCCAGGGGATCTGGCCCACGATCAACACTCAGTGTGGGGGTGAGACAGATATCAAACTAGACTCTTGTTGGTACCATCAGAATTGGATCTCTGTGTGGGTTCTGGGGTCCCATTGTGGGGAAAACAAGAATAGACCCACTGCCTCTGCAGAAAGAATGTCGTAAGAGTTGACTAACCGGGGGCTTTTTTTAAAGTCAGAGTGCATCTACCTGAGAGGCAAGGAACCAGCAGTCTGCATACAGATAAGTCAGATCTGTAAAAATCTCAGTGCATCACTCAGGTTCTGGGACAAGCCTAAAGTCTAGAGGTGGACAAGCAACCAGAACTTTTCGTCAGTGCTTACAGCCAGTGAAAGCGAAGAAGAATGATCTCTGCGCTTGCTGCTGAAGATGCAGACCGGGTGTTTTTGGAAATGCCCGGAGTGCTGGATGTCAATTCCTAATCAAACCTTTACCCTTTCCCTGTCATGTAGTTATGGGAGTCACCATAATTGTACTTTTAGATCCGAGGAAAGTATTTATTTTTTCATTCTTATCTGCATTCATGTTTTATTGATTGCTGCCCTTCATATCTCATAGTTGTCAACTGTAAGTACAATTTTTACATGAGTTATTAGTGATCTGTATGAAATGGTTGTTCCCAGGTTCTCTGCATTCTCCTCTCAAGGATTTCTGGGGCGAAAGGGTTGGCTACTGATTTAGTTTAACATGTTCAGGTTTACATCTGGGGGGGTGTATCAAAAAGATGTTCTCATATATGGAAGGCCATGATTTTGGTCCCTGCTGGCTGCTGTTTGTAAATGCAACTGTTTAAAATTAAACTAATTGATCCCTGTGTGGGTTCCGAGGTCTCATTGAGGGAAAAATAAGAATAGACCCACTGCCTCCCCAACAAACATGTCACAGGAGTCGACTAATTGGGGACTTCCTACAAAGTTGGAGTACCTCTGCCTGAGAGGCAAATAGCCACAAGTTTTACTGGGGTTTTGGAACAAAACTAAAGTATGGAGGTGGATGAACACCCAGAACTTTCCACCTTAGTTTACAGTTAGTGAATGAGAAGAAGAAGACAAAACTTATTGATAGTGCTCTCAGAGTTCACACAGAAAAAAAAAGTGCACCCCAAATTCAGCTTCAAAGCAGATAGTGCTAGTTTAAAGCAATTGAATGTTTTTATGTACTTAGCCTGATAACAGCAGATAGACAATATATTAAGGAAGTTAAATGCAGAATATCCCAAGTTTTCCTTATGGGTTCCAGGGCCAGTTGTTTGAGGGAAAAAGAATAGACCCACTGCTCCTCAACAAGCATGTCATAAAAGGTGGTTAATTAATGATTTGCTAAAACCATATGTCTTGGGCTGAAGTAAAAAAAGGTAAAGTAAAGATCCCTTTACACGCCTTTAGGCGCATCGGGCATACGGGAAGAGCACCCATATTTTTACAGACCAATCGGCACTCTGTGGGTAATGTGGTCAGCATTACGCCGGCCGTCTTTACTTTCCCAGAACAGCCCATCCTGGTACCCATTTGAGGCTGGGTCGACATGCGACGTCCCATACCACGATAAAAATCCACGCAGGTTTCGATCGCGGTACGTTGGATTACAAGTCGGACTCGCAACGCCTTAGCCGCGGACGCCGCTTAATCTTATCTGTAAAGCACAAAGCACAGGACGGTGAGATTACTGCTTGTAAGGGCAAATGCTAGAAGAAGAAGCATACACTCAACAAAAGCAGCTTTTCACAAAAGGATATTGTCTGCAGTAAAATGAGAAAGGGTGTTTTTAAGAACTGTATGGAGCGGTCGTAATGTATGGAAATGAATCATAGACAGCAGATTTAGTGAGAAATTATATGAATATCGCTGAGATATATACATTAACGGAAGAATGGTAAGGATACCATGGACCAATAAAAGTGGAATCAAGATATTTTTGAAGAAATATTTCTCTACTTAGCGTTCACCGACTGTAAACATCAGCTGAAAGTTCTGGTTGTTCGCTCATTTCTAGACTTTGGGCTTGATCCAGAACTTAAGTTTTGCATGTACATCTATTTTACAGATCTGGCTTATTTGTATGTACTGTTGGTTCCTTGCCTCTCGGGCAGTGCACTCTGGCTTTTGAGGAAACACCCCTAATAAGTTGCCTCATATGATGTGCTTTTTAGAAGGGCTGTGGGTCTATTTTTTGTTCTCCAAAATAGAGCTCCAGAATGCACACAGGGATTTAAAGAAGTAACTTATAAGAAAACTGGTCACCCAAACCAGAAGCAGACAATCCATAGTCATTTGGTATTTCATGAGAAGGGTGACAACTAGAGTATGTCTTAATAATAGGAATTCCTTTGAAGTCAAATGCATCTGCCTGAGCACCAACTGCACACAAATAAGCCAGTAAAACAGATGTATGCCCAAAACTTAGGCCCTGGCATAAAGCTAAGATCCAAATGGACGAACAACCAGGACTTTCCACCAGAGCTTACAACCCGTGAACAAAGAAGAAGAATAGCAGTAAAGTTAAAGGGAACGGAAACCAAGAGAAAAGATGTTATACTTCTAGCATCATGGTATGAATAAACATCTGTATTGGCAGTACACAAGACAAATAACAATGGACAGACAAAATTATCAGCATCTTTTGGCTTGGGCTTTGGTTAGTTTTTGCTTTGTTTAATAATGTTTTAACACCTGCTAGGCTGAAATATAGATGATATGTTATCCAGTCTTAATTTATTTCCAGTATTGTCCATCCTATCTGGGTTCCAGGGCATTTTCTTTGAAGTTGGAGTGTATCTGCGTGGGAGGCAAATGCTGCAGAATGGATGTACAGGTGAAACTCAGGTTCTAGAACCAGAAGTGGATGAACAACCAGAACTTTCCACTGGAGTTTACAGCCAGTAAAATGCATAGATGTATAGGGTAGCAGAGTCCCTTGTCGGCCTTGTTGGGGTCCTATGTAGAGTCCAAGAACTGTTATTTATTACTGCTCATGACATTCAAGTGTGTATTTCTCTACTTGTGCATTGTACTTTTTTTTTTTTCGTCATCCCTTTAGGGAGCTGACAGTGATGGAGAAGATAAATATTATGCTGAAGAAATGGACATGCCAGGACAGAAGTTTGAAACCAAACAGAGGATCACAGTAAGAAACTTGCGCATTAGAGAGGACACTGCAAAGGTAAATTTTTTTTTTTTTTAATTTTTAATCTGTCATGTTGGTTGATCCTCATCGTCATCATCATGTGCCATGCCGATAAGTGTATGCTGCATTATTTGTTGTCTCACGTAGTAATCTAAATCATGAATCTGATCCGTGTCTCACCCTCAACTCACCCATATGGCTAAGCCAGGTACTTATATCTTTACCTTCCTCTTGCTGTCTTTCCATCAGTCTTGTCACTTTTTAGAAATTTCTTGTCTTTTCCTTCTCATAACATGTCTGGAGACACTGTCTACATCTAATTTTTCTTTTTTTAATGGTTTTTATCTGTCTCACACGTGACTGCCTGTTTTTCTATCATTCCATGAAAGTTGGATGTGTCGGCCAAAAGACGCAAATATTGTAGCTATGCTGTAAACAGGCACAACATGTTTACCTCACTTGGAGGAACTATAAGAATAAAAAGAATTCCAGCAGAGGACAAGGAATTTTCACGTGAACCATTGTTGTCTACAGATGCCATTACCTCTCTTCCACCACCCAATGCAGAGTACATTAACATAGATCCCATCACCTCTTTGATAGTATCTGTAGAGGACAAAATTGTTACCCACACACGCTGACCTCTGATGTGTATAAATAGATGCAGTGCAGTTTCCTTCAAAGAGGAACAAAGAAAGAACCCCAGGTGGCTCTGGGATCCCTTTTTGGGGGGGAGGGGGTGGCAGGAAGAATGGACCCAGTGCCCCTCAAAAGCATGTTGTGAAAGGCAACAAGAACATGTTGAAATCGAATATGTTGGGCTGAAGGGTGCAGATATCGCAGCCTAGCTGTTAACACAGCACAGGGTGCCAGCCACCCTTTTAAGGGCAAATACAAAAAAAAAAACTGATGAAGTCTTAACATATTATTGCTGTTTATTCCACAAGTATACAACCTCCATAATTCTTTATTGTCCACTAGGAATGTTTTCCCTAGCTGGTCTTACTATTTAGATGTAACTAAGATGTAACTATAGCTTTTGATATTTTATGCTGTGTTCTTCTATCTTTCTACTTTTTTCTATGAGTGCTGCTAAACGCATTATCTGTTTATTATATATGTGTAGATGTAAGCAGTTTAATGGTAGCTTTTGAAATTGTCATCTATGATTAGTAGTTGTTGTGAGAATGAGTCTTAATTTTTGTACATTTCTTTTACAGTACTTGTACAATTTGGACTTAAACTCAGCATACTATGATCCGAAGACTCGTTCCATGAGAGAAAATCCCTTGAAAAACACCAGCAAGGAAGATATTACAGAGTATGTAGTGATAATTTTTTAGCTTATGTATTTTCCTTTTCGAGTAAATTTTCACTCCTACTTTTTGCACTGTTCCGTCTTGCCAGACAAGAGTGTTACCTTGTGTGGTATGGAGGCATGAGAATGAGGGTACCAATTAAGGCCAGGGTTGATGTTCCTTGTTTCCATAGCACAAAACCTGGACAGTATTGTAGAGGCCATGTGTTGCTCGTGCAACGTGATCCCTTCCTCATCCTGCTTTGTTAACTCTAAAAGAAAGATAGCACTAATGTATTTGAAACAAAGCATGCAGCTGAAGCTGTCGGATCAGGAGAGCAGTGCCTTGTCTTTCTGCCTGTCAGAGCTTCCCTCCTAGACCAGCTGCCGAGCAAGACTAAGAGCTAAAAGGCATTTTTTTTTTCTAGGGCAGGGCTGTTCAACTACATTTACTTAGAGACCAAAATGTTGAGCTTAGGGAATGTCACAGAGCAGTTACTTGAGTCTTAGCATTAAAAAAATCATTAGTACAATACAGCTGGCAGTGATCCGCGGGCCACTTGCTAGACATTGGTGGGCCGCCAGTTGAACAGCCAACATGTAGTATTAGCAGAGGATATATAATATTGACTGCTATTATGCAGAAGCTCAGTCGTATCTGACAAAAGTCACGGTCATATAATTTAAACTTCCCAGTTCAGCACAGTTGAAGTGTTTCAAAGGGTTTCCTTTGCAAAGTGGTCAGACCATTTGCCTAAGGTAATTGGTTTTTTTGTTCGGGCTGTGTCGTTTGTTTCAAATGTGCAGCTTGTTCTGGTAACTCTGAAGACTGCTGAAGCTACAGAGTGTTTGCTCAGGGCAGAGCTTTCAGTATGCAGCCAGCTTTTTGTAGTGGGAGTCCTAGCCAGATATGCAGTGAAGTTGATGTTACCTGTTATCACCATTTGTTATGCTTCTTGTTGTTTAATGCTTTGGGTTTTTAGTAGTAAACTATTTATCAGTATATTGCATCAATCATGTCCTTTAGAGTGACTCTGTATTGTCAACAGATTGAAATTTGGAGGTGACAACTTTGTGCGGTATTCTGGTGATTCACAAGAAATGGCCAAGAGACAGTGTAAGTCTATTTGCTGTGTGGCATACATTTTGTTTTCATTTGTGTGTACACTGTATTGTGATAGTGATATTAATTTATGCACATGTTCATTCAGAGCACATTGTTATCTGTATTTCTACAGACAGACCCTAGGATCTTATATACAGTTTTAAACAAATCTAAGAGTCATCCAACCAGTTTAGTTGGATTTAGTCAGTTTTTTTTTAACCTGAAAACCATGGAAACTTCTGTATACTTAACTGATTTTATGTTTCTCCACCTGCATTTCTGAAGTAAACCATTTTAGATCTGCAGTAGGGAATGGGGATTTGTTCTGTTTAGAGCAAAAATAGACAGCCTAACCAGCACACTTAAGGCCACCGCACTAGCCACGATGCCTTAAATCTTGGTGCTCACAGCCCCTCTTACACAAACTAAAAATAGTAAATACAGAAGTAAAGAAAAGGGCCCTTCAGGCTTATTGGGCATTTAATGAGAGACCTAAATTTTTTAGATTAATCGACACTCTGGAAGTGATGTGGTCAACATCACACCGACCGACTTTACCTGGTACCTGTTTAAGGCTGGATCAAGCTGGGACTGTGATTATTTAGAAAATTACTTGGCTCACATACAGGCTGTCTCTTCTTTTTCTTCCTTCTTTTCTCTGCTCCTGGAATGCCTCAGGGCATCACGACAGAAAGAGATTTCTGGAATGGGCCATTCTGTTAGCTTTGTATAAAGTACTATTCAGTGTCTCTGATATTTCTGTGGTCCATATCTGCGTGGTAGACCTCTGGATCTGTTTTTGCTGTATCTGTATTACATTTCTTTCTGTGGTGTCCTGTCTGATGCGAGTCTTGTTACACAACCAAACCATTTGATTTGTTGTCTACATATAAAGTTCAGCATTGGTTTTGTGCCGACTCTTCTCCTGACATCATCATTCCTAAATCAAACTTTTCTCGTCATACCTAGAAAAGTACGTAAACATGAAGGAAAGATTCCAAAGCAAGCTGTAGGGTAACTAAAAATAAGAAGTTTCATCCATTGGGCCCAACGACTCTGCAGTTAGATCACTGATCTGCCTGCAACTGATAGCCCCCTAAATGCTATTACAGATCGGACTCCTTGGAGAGAGGATTATACATAGATGAAAGTGAAAGGACTATTCGACAAGAAAGAAACAAAACAGTGTGCAGCGTAAAACAGCTACCCTCAGTCTACTTGATGGTGAATACCCATAGAATCTGTGGGTTCGTGTCTACACAAACGCAAGCAGTAGTGGAGAGGCAGGAGCGTACTTTAAGAATCCAAATAATACAAGATATGCAGCCAAAATACCAACAGGAAACACTGTCACAACTATGATGCAGAAGTTCAAGCCATCAAATTAGCAGCAGAGAAACTTCTAAATGTATGTCATACTTCACAGCCCGTGGTATTCCTGACAGATGCAAAAGTGGTACTTGGCGCACTCCAATCTTGGAAATTGTCTAGTATACGAAACTACTCTTCAAACTAAGCAACTAGGTAAAGTAACAATGCAGTAGATACTATCCCACTGTGGAGTTCCTGGAAATGAAAGAGCTAATAAACTAGCCAAGGAAGGTGCAACTGAAGAACAACATGTCAACAGAAGAAGAGAATAATCAAATTAATCTGTAAGCCACCAAAACTGTCAAAAGACGAGCAGACATTATCATTCACCTTAGAACAGGACACAATCAACTTTGCAGCCACATGTACACAAAATTTAATATTGGCAAATCAGCCGCGTGTACATGTAGATAAGCACCTGAGACAACAGATTACGTCCTCAAAGACTGTTTCAAATGCAACATACCAAGGCAACATTTTTGGCCAAGAGAAACAACAGTGCAAGCCAAACTTTACGGGTCGCTGAGGGGATTACAACAAACAGTGAAGTTAATACTAGAGGCAGCATTGCATATATAGATAATCTATTTCTAGCAATCGATACAAGAAGAAGATTTCTGTTGTGACTATTTTCCTTCTGTCTTCTGAAGACAGTGTCCTTGACCATACAGGCAGTAAAGATAGTTTTTTTTCCAACTAAATTTGTGATTCCACCTCTTGATTGGTTTATCCTTCCATGATTTTTCTTCCTTATTATCTGTATTTTATCTCTATGAACAGTTACAAAATATTTTTCATCAGAATACTAACTATTAACTATGTCTTACTCTTTTCAGTGTTTGCTTGGGAGGCATATGAGAGAGGTAATGATATCCACCTGCAGGCAGATCCAACCAAATTGGAGTTACTTCACAAGGAGTTTGAAAAGAGAAAGAATGAGTTTAAGAAGACAGCCAAAGATTCAATCTTGGAAAAGTATGGAGGTGAAGAGCACTTAGAAGCTCCTCCTAAACAGCTGTTGTTGGCACAGACGGTAGGCTATATCTTAGTTAGTTTTCCAGTAATTCTTCGTTTGCTCGTTGTAAAATCAAAAGATGAAAAGTAAAATAAATGGCTTCATATCTAAATAGGAATGATGCATAATTTATGATGTTCCTAATAAATCGGTGTTTTTAGGAATTAGGAAATTACTGTGGAAGTAAATGCGGCCCACAAGGAAAGTGGACTTAGCCATCACACGCCAGTGAATTAAAAAATTTCCCACCAACATCATATACTCAATACACCTCGTAGCATGAAAAGGGTTTGTTTATTTTTAATGTAAATTTTTAGCTTGGAACAGTTAGTAGTTACAGCACACAGGGGTTCTTGAGGGACTGGGAATGAAAAGAGAGTTACTGGAAGAAAAAAAAGAACAATTTAAATATTTTGGCCACATTAAATGACGTAACATTCTTTTAAAAACCATACTGGAGAGAAAGGTCGAAGGCAAGAGAGCAAAAGATAGACAATACAAATTAGAGGACAACATCCTGAGATGGAATAACAGCAGTCTGAGAAAGTCTACTACCAAGACAAGAAATAGAGAGTGTTGGAGATTGTCATGGAACGGGTTTCTTTCTTACTCACTATGGTGGGGCTACAGGTTTAAATCCTCCCTCCTGATGCTAGTGAGAAACCGAGACAACTGTCTTTTGATGCAAAGTGCAGACCGTGTCCCTGGATACCCAGATACAGACTCGAATTGGCTCGTGAAGAAAAGTGAGCTGCCTGAATGTCCCCAGAAAAGGGAAAAAGGAATTAAAATTTCTAGCTAGCACTTATTAATGTACAATATTCAAACAAATTCAAACAAAATATACTTCATGAAATAGAGATTTCTTTTCGAACAACAAACAATTTACACCTGTGGTTTTCCAGAGGATCATTCATTTTGGAGGATGCGGTGGAACGTTGGATCTGTCCCAATCATCCAGACCAAGACCTTTTTCAGGGGTACTTCAGTCGTCACATACGACCAGCCTGGCTGTGTTTTGTAAGTTCGTCCTGCCCCAAGTAACAAGGAATTGTCCTTGGCTTTTCAGCAGTTGGATTAAGCTGTATGACTACTGAGTGAATTCGGCCATCATGCTAGGGCTATTGGCTGCGTGAAAGACAGAATCAAGTTGTTGTCTAGAACTGCATGCCCGTCTCTTGCTAGTGGCCGGAAGTCAATGACAGCAATCCTGAGTACCAGCGTGATTCCGTTAGTAGCCAGTCTTTCATGACATCTTTGCCAAATTTACTAGCAGCAAATTCCATTTGTGAAAGCGTATGGAAATTGCAAATAAGACACATATCCCTCAAAGGCGTCTATGACGAAAATGGCGTCAGTCTTGACTTAGCCAAGACGGAAAAATTGAACCGTCAAACGGGGTGGTACATGAGTTAGAGTATCTTGTCTACTTGAAGCAGCGCCTCATGACAGAGATTTATTGCAGCCATCCTTCACTGTGGAGATGGTACCCGATTGATTGAAACTTCAAAGCCTAGTACACTTTGCTGTAATAGCATTGTACAGTTAGATCTCCTGTCAGGTTTGGTGTGCGCCGCCAAGTATTTGGCATTAATGTAACAGGTAGAACTGACTACTGGTACATGATAGATTAGTCATGCCATGACACCGCCGCAGCTTACATGTAAACAAAAGAAGCACAGCATGTCAGACAGAGAAATTCAGCTGAATAATTTCTTGTTTCGGAAATCTTTTATGTGATAGGTAATTAAAGTTTTTTTTCTTTCCCAGGAGGACTATGTGGAATATTCTCGCACTGGCTCTGTTATCAAAGGACAAGAAAAGGCAGCGGTGAAGTCAAGATATGAGGAGGATGTCTTTAATAATAATCACACAGTAGGTTTATTGTAATTGACACATCATGTTGCTATTGGTTTGTCTATACAGTATTTTGTCACTGACTAATTTACACGTCATGTTGCCATTAGTTAGTCTACACAGTATTTTGTCACTGACTAATTTACACGTCATGTTGCCATTAGTTAGTCTACACAGTATTTTGTCACTGACTAATTTACACGTCATGTTGCCATTAGTTAGTCTACACAGTATTTTGTCACTGACTAATTTACACGTCATGTTGCCATTAGTTAGTCTACACAGTATTTTGTCACTGACTAATTTACACATCATGTTGCCATTAGTTAGTCTACACAGTATTTTGTCACTGACTAATTTACACGTCATGTTGCCATTGGTTAGTCTACACAGTATTTTGTCACTGACTAATTTACACGTCATGTTGCCATTAGTTAGTCTACACAGTATTTTGTCACTGACTAATTTACACGTCATGTTGCCATTGGTTAGTCTACACAGTATTTTGTCACTGACTAATTTACACGTCATGTTGCCATTGGTTAGTCTACACAGTATTTTGTCACTGACTAATTTACACGTCATGTTGCCATTGGTTAGTCTACACAGTATTTTGTCACTGACTAATTTACACGTCATGTTGCCATTGGTTAGTCTACACAGTATTTTGTCACTGACTAATTTACACGTCATGTTGCCATTAGTTAGTCTACACAGTATTTTGTCACTGACTAATTTACACGTCATGTTGCCATTGGTTAGTCTATACAGTATTTTGTCACTGACTAATTGACACATCATGTTGCCATTAGTTAGTCTACACAGTATTTTGTCAATGACTATTTTACACGTCATGTTGCCATTGGTTAGTCTACACAGTATTTTGTCACTGACTAATTTACACGTCATGTTGCCATTGGTTAGTCTACACAGTATTTTGTCACTGACTAATTTACACGTCATGTTGCCATTGGTTAGTCTACACAGTATTTTGTCACTGACTAATTTACACGTCATGTTGCCATTGGTTAGTCTACACAGTATTTTGTCACTGACTAATTTACACGTCATGTTGCCATTGGTTAGTCTACACAGTATTTTGTCACTGACTAATTTACACGTCATGTTGCCATTGGTTAGTCTACACAGTATTTTGTCACTGACTAATTTACACGTCATGTTGCCATTGGTTAGTCTACACAGTATTTTGTCACTGACTAATTTACACGTCATGTTGCCATTAGTTAGTCTACACAGTATTTTGTCACTGACTAATTTACACGTCATGTTGCCATTGGTTAGTCTACACAGTATTTTGTCACTGACTAATTTACACGTCATGTTGCCATTGGTTAGTCTACACAGTATTTTGTCACTGACTAATTTACACGTCATGTTGCCATTAGTTAGTCTACACAGTATTTTGTCACTGACTAATTTACACGTCATGTTGCCATTGGTTAGTCTACACAGTATTTTGTCACTGACTAATTTACACGTCATGTTGCCATTAGTTAGTCTACACAGTATTTTGTCACTGACTAATTTACACATCATGTTGCCATTAGTTAGTCTACACAGTATTTTGTCACTGACTAATTTACACATCATGTTGCCATTAGTTAGTCTACACAGTATTTTGTCACTGACTAATTTACACGTCATGTTGCCATTAGTTAGTCTACACAGTATTTTGTCACTGACTAATTTACACGTCATGTTGCCATTGGTTAGTCTACACAGTATTTTGTCACTGACTAATTTACACGTCATGTTGCCATTAGTTAGTCTACACAGTATTTTGTCACTGACTAATTTACACGTCATGTTGCCATTGGTTAGTCTACACAGTATTTTGTCACTGACTAATTTACACGTCATGTTGCCATTGGTTAGTCTACACAGTATTTTGTCAATGACTAATTTACACGTCATGTTGCCATTAGTTAGTCTACACAGTATTTTGTCAATGACACTTTACTTGTCATGTTGCCATTGGTTAGTGTACACAGTATTTTGTCACTGACTAATTTACACGTCATGTTACCATTGGTTAGTCTACACAGTATTTTGTCACTGACTAATTTACACGTCATGTTGCCATTGGTTAGTCTATACAGTATTTTGTCACTGACTAATTTACACGTCATGTTGCCATTGGTTAGTCTACACAGTATTTTGTCACTGACTAATTTACACGTCATGTTGCCATTAGTTAGTCTACACAGTATTTTGTCACTGACTAATTTACACGTCATGTTGCCATTGGTTAGTCTACACAGTATTTTGTCACTGACTAATTTACACGTCATGTTGCCATTGGTTAGTCTACACAGTATTTTGTCACTGACTAATTTACACGTCATGTTGCCATTGGTTAGTCTACACAGTATTTTGTCACTGACTAATTTACACGTCATGTTGCCATTGGTTAGTCTACACAGTATTTTGTCACTGACTAATTTACACGTCATGTTGCCATTGGTTAGTCTACACAGTATTTTGTCACTGACTAATTTACACGTCATGTTGCCATTAGTTAGTCTACACAGTATTTTGTCACTGACTAATTTACACGTCATGTTGCCATTGGTTAGTCTATACAGTATTTTGTCACTGACTAATTGACACATCATGTTGCCATTAGTTAGTCTACACAGTATTTTGTCAATGACTATTTTACACGTCATGTTGCCATTGGTTAGTCTACACAGTATTTTGTCACTGACTAATTTACACGTCATGTTGCCATTGGTTTGTCTATACAGTATTTTGTCACTGACTAATTTACACGTCATGTTGCCATTAGTTAGTCTACACAGTATTTTGTCACTGACTAATTTACACGTCATGTTGCCATTGGTTAGTCTACACAGTATTTTGTCACTGACTAATTTACACGTCATGTTGCCATTAGTTAGTCTACACAGTATTTTGTCACTGACTAATTTACACGTCATGTTGCCATTAGTTAGTCTACACAGTATTTTGTCACTGACTAATTTACACATCATGTTGCCATTAGTTAGTCTACACAGTATTTTGTCACTGACTAATTTACACGTCATGTTGCCATTAGTTAGTCTACACAGTATTTTGTCACTGACTAATTTACACGTCATGTTGCCATTGGTTAGTCTACACAGTATTTTGTCACTGACTAATTTACACGTCATGTTGCCATTAGTTAGTCTACACAGTATTTTGTCAATGACTAATTTACACGTCATGTTGCCATTAGTTAGTCTACACAGTATTTTGTCAATGACACTTTACTTGTCATGTTGCCATTGGTTAGTGTACACAGTATTTTGTCACTGACTAATTTACACGTCATGTTACCATTGGTTAGTCTACACAGTATTTTGTCACTGACTAATTTACACGTCATGTTGCCATTGGTTAATCTATACAGTATTTTGTCACTGACTGTTTTACACACCATGTTGTCATTGATTAATTTACACATCATTTTTACATTATTTTACACGCCATTGGTTAATCTGCTCAGTATGTTGTCCCTGGCTAATTTACACACCACGTTGTTGTTAGTAATTTAATGACACTGTTACACTTCATAGCCATATGATGTCATTTGTTGAGTTAGACAACATGTTGCCACTGGTTAATTTACACACAACAGATGGTGCTCTTAATGCCATAAAGATGCTACCAACTCTTGACTATCTGGACGCAGTTCCAACAATTGAAGAAGTTAGGAATGCTGTTGAGGAACTGTCTTTGGGGAAAGCCCCAGGCAGAGATGGAATTTCTATTGAGATCATGAGTGGGAAAGATATTCTAACCCCACACATGTATCAGCGGATAACACTCTGCTGGTGAGAGGGGCAGGCTCCGCAAGACTTCAAAGACTCAAGCATCATAATTATGTACAAGAACAAGGGTGATTGAAGTGACTGCAGGAACTACAGGGAAGTATCACTGCTGTGTACTGTTGGAAAAGTACTTATGAAAATTGTTCTGTGAAGACTCCAGATCCTAGGAGACCAGGTTTACCCAGAGTCACAGTGCGGCTTTCATGGGAACCGGTCTACCACTGATACCACTCTGCTGCCATCATTCAGTAATAACACCATACTGTACTGTCAGCTTTATTTGCATAGTAGTGTCGTCAATTAGTATTCACTGCATGCTGTCATACACATACATTGTTTGCATTGCAGTCTGTCTGGGGTTCCTATTGGAGAGATGGCAAATGGGGCTACGTTTGCTGTCATTCCTTTTTAAGAGAGTCTTACTGTACTGGTGCTGCTGGAAAGAAAGCAGAAGAGGTAATCACTTCTGACTATTATATTTCTGTAAAACCTGAGAGGATCAACTTTAGTTAATATCTAATACAGAACCATCTTTTAGATAGCAGTAAGTAAAGGTAAATTACCATATTTCTCCAAGTATTAGATGATTACATGTTTAAGACGCATCTTGATTTGGGAATTGTCGGGTAATGTGATGACATAACGTTATTAAACTCACATTTTATTCATCATAGAATCCAGGAAACTGCTTACCACTGTCAAAACTCTCATCCATATAATATTTCTTTAGCTTGACTTGTCTGTGGCTAATAATGTATCACTGCTTTCAAATATTGCTTCATCCTTAGTTCCGTCTGTGGTATTTGAAATGCTACCCTTTTTTTGAATGACTTGACAACAATCTCTTCATCTCATCTCACTTGCTGTGTTTTTCAAGGACTCTTCATGTCTGACACTAGAAGCATGCTGTAGGCACAAACAAGACATCTATTAAACCTTTTTTGCCTGGGAAGTCCCTATCCCAGCTTTTCTGTCTTTGCCACATTTCCCTACAGATCCTTGAACCAGCCTGTCTGCAATAACCTGTTTCTGAAAAGGTAGTTTGAAGTCATTGGTTTGTTTGTACCTGCGTAGCATTTATTAGGAGAGTTCTTTTTAAACCTGCACAGTGCAAAATTGGTGCATTGAACATGATCATCCTATGGCAACTTTGCCAGACTCTCGCTCGCTGCACTTGTCAGCCTTGTGTGTATCGCAACTCAATAACTCAACTGCCCTTCTAAGGATTTCGGGCCCTTTGAGTTTGTTGTATACAATTATTGCCATATACAGCGAGTCACATGCAACAGACAGCAGCTTAACATAGTCACCTGAAGTATACAGCAAAGGCAGTCTTGCTTTTCTCCACCACCTTATCATCATGTCTCGAGGAAGCGGAAAGCGTACAGGCCAGAAGAGGCAACCCACCAGCTCCACCACCCCATTTGCCTCTGCCTCAGCCTCCAAGGAGACAGAAGCAGTTGCTGCCAAAGCAAAAAGGATGAAGCCCTGGCCACTGGTGAGGCCCTGAGGGATGTATCAGCCTCATCCGAACTAGCACAACCAATACCAGAAACATCACCAGAGAGGCAGAAGACGGGCAACCACAAATACCCTTTCACCATATTTCTCTAACACACCAGCTTGGGCCGAGCAGTAGTTACCACCCCTGCAATATTGACAATCAACATGCTGGAAATCCTGCTGGGCAGAAGTGTGGTCGCCAGACTCAGGAGCACTCGAGAGGGCATGATCGCTACACTCAACAGAATCAATCGCACCTCAAGCATGCTGGATGACATCAAGCAGAATGGAAAGAAAGAACTCCAGCTATCCGATGAGATTACTGTGACGGCCACAATATTCAAGAGTGTTGTGCGGAGAGTCAGTCTTCACCTGAGCAACGAAAAAAATACTTGAACAGCTAAGGAAAGACAACCTTAAAATCGGATTCAACAGTGCGGAGAGACTCGGCTCCAAGCTTCACTTATTGCCAGCCGCATTGATAACATCAGAGGGTGAAGATATCCTGGAACAAGTTTACCTGAAGCAGAGGGTGCAGAGACCAGAACAGCACGTGCCACATGTGCTCTAGTGCTCCCTTTGTCAGAAAGCCTGGCACTCCCATTCCACTTGTGTGAGCGAGCACAAAATCTGCAGGTACTGTTCAGAGCCACATGCTTTCAGTGACTGCCCCCTGGCAAAGCTGGACCAAGACTTCAGGTCACCAAACCCAAGTCAAAAATACGCAGACTGCTCCAGCCAGCATAGCGCCAGGTACCTAGGGTGCCCCTGTCTCCAGCAGTGCCAAGACATAACAACCAGGGCCACCCGGGAAAACATCCCATATCATGAGGTCTGCATAAGACATGAAGTACCCAAAGGCATCGCTTCAGCAATCACCACCAAGCTAGACAATGAGATTGCTCGCCTTAGAAGTGACATCCAGGCTCTCAGAGACGAAAAAAAAGCCTCCAGATCCCAACTAGATGAAGAAAGGGAGGAAGTTACATGTCTGATAACCATCATACAGGGGACTCTCGAAACCCAGAAGTGGATGGAATCAGACATGACGAAATTCAGGGAAGACATCAAGGCTGTGCTCCCTGTCATCCAGACACAGAAGGGGCAGACAACCCAAGCACACACAAAAAGGAGATCAGTCTCACAAAACTGCAAGAAAACTAGCTTCTGCTTACGACCCAAGTTACACGGATTAAGAAATCCCTTACAGAGACAGAGAAATAGTTGCAGAAGGCAAACGAAGTAAACGCCCGACTGAGCAAGGAGCTCCAACCCACTTACAGAGTGTTAGATGAAAAAGAGAAAGCAAGGAAAGAAGCAGCAAATACAATCACCCAGACGCCAGGAACCGAGCCTCCCAAAAAGACGAGTCAAGTTAAAAACAAGGAAGTGTTGACGCCCCTGACAGGGCATTTCACACAGATAAAGCAACATTGCAAATGGCTCAACACATCAGGGAGCTGGAGGATCTGGACTACTTCAACCCAAACTTGCCAGAAGAGGGCGCACAATGGTCCCCACCAGAAGAACCGATCTGACGGCAAATGCCAGAAACGACACTGCCAGCATCAAACCACTCGAAACCCCAGAGTGAGCAGCGACAGACAACCAAGGTAGAAGAAGGCCACCAAAACAACACCTGATCCCACCATAACCCGTTGCCAACCGCTATAGGCAAAAACTCTAGTCCTTCTTGGGAAAAGCAGAACTCACTCCTTGGATACACCAACCGGCCAATCAAAACTACCAACCTAACGATCCGGAGCGCAGCACAAGCCCAGCCAGATACAAGAACACCCAAGCGAAAATAAACCACAACAAACAACGAGCAAAAGAATCCACAAATAGATGGGATGATGACAGGAAACGTCTCCACAAATATAGCGGACAGGGCAGAAAGCAGCAATGCTTTCTTACCCTTAGTTGAACCTGGTCACATTGAAAATTGATTGATTGATTGATTATCCCATGGTGCATAGGTATTGTTTCTGACCACTGAGACATTGGATGGTTGATCCAGAATCTGTCCAGAGGAGCTCAGAAAGTAATGATTCATTTATAGAATCTGGACCACTTGACATTCATTGAAGAACGCAGGCAGTTTACAGTAACAAATGCGTGTTGAAGACAATAGTGACAGATTGGGCATGAATGTTTCAGAAAGGATGTGAATTTATGATAGATTTTCCACGCTTGTTCATATCATATCATTGCAACATACAAACAAACCATCGGCAAAATTGATGCAGCTATACAGGTGGCTGTTGTCAGGCATATGTTCGTTAGTGAAAGAATTCCTATGTGTCAGTTGGGATAGTTAAAAAAATTTTTCTTAAGAAACTGCTGTATTTGAAGGTGTGTGGGTACCACAGATACTGATGCCATAAACATATGGTTCAATGAGCCATCACAAATAATGTTTTGTTTTTGCTGGGGTGGGGGGCTTCATAAGCATTGGCCGCCAAATAATATAGGTCACCTACCTAAGATACTTGCCTGAAAGCCTACAGTGACTATCTCCCCCAACCCACTGTGCATAATGTATTCAGAATAATTGCTGTGTTTAATTCTGCCACATCTGTTGATAGTTCTTTCATGCTTTTCTAATAAAGCCATTGAAACAGGTTATAAATAAATGTTTATACTAGGCCCAAGTATGAATATTTTTACCTAAAAAAATATAATGGGGAAGGGAATCTTCAAAGGGTTTTTAAAAGCCATGTTGAGGACATATTTTTCTGTAGCCTCAGTGTTCTAGGTAATGGGGTCACAGCAGGATTCATCTGGTACATGTTTTTGGGAATGTAGTCCATTTATTGCTTCCTACATTTGTGTTTTTTTATTACTTCTTTTGTATAACTTTATGTATTTGTAACATTTTAAATTATGTCAATAGATAAATATGGTGAAAATGTATTAGTATCCAGTAGATAAATATGTTCACAATTTATTAGTGACCAGTATGATAAATGTTTGTTCCCCCCCCCCCCCCCTTAGACTCCCCCCCCCCCCTCCCCATCACAGTTTGGAGAAATGTCACTAAAGAGAATAGTATGTAAAGTTAAAGGTGTGATAATGATAAAGAATCAACATTACATCATAAAAGACAAGCCCAAAGTGCTTGATTGCCCCACCACAGCAGTTGATGTCCAGGTTGTAGCTAAACAACAAATACTTTCTTCAGAGTATTAGGCACAAACTGGTTTTTTTTTTTAAATAATGATGCTTATATTAATGCATAATGAATGTTAAATTGTTTGCTCAATCCTAGGAAAGTAACATGTTGCTTGCTACCACCAGTGACAACTGTGCCCAAGAACAACCAGAATCCCTTCTTGAGGTACGTTGTCTTTTTATCATTAGTTATGTGTCACTGTCATTACTGCCTGTATTTATCATTTTTTCACTGTAGGCAAGGGGGTCTTCAAGCCTGGGAATTTAAAGCTGCATGGCTAGTGCGGTCACCATGGACTGTGCATATTCTCAATAGTTTTTTAGCGTGGGGTTTTAGGGCTTTTTGGTTATCACATTGGCCGTGGACTAAGCAGGTTAGGGTTTTTGTGTGTGCCTCCAACAGAAGAACCCAACCTTACTGGGGTTTTGAACCTAGTCTCCCTTATTAGAGTCCGGCTCTCTCAGCTATTTAATCAGCTGCTCCTTGGTTCATCATCATCATGATCATATAACAGGTCCTTTGCAGAACATCGCAGTCGTCACAGGAGACAGTGGTTGCCAGCTCTACCACTTTGTGTGCTTTCATATCCAAGGTGTCACTTAATACTGTGCCCATCTTCATGTTAGTCAGCCCCTGCCCCTCCTTCATGGTACCATGCCTTCTGCTATTATTTTTTTAATACAAAATATTTCAGCTTCTGAGACATATGCTGTTTATTAGCCATTCTTCCTAGATATTCAGGTCTTTTAGTATCTCAGTATTTCTTTTCTTCTTTGTTCATGATATTCTGAGAATCTCTCTTTAGCATTTAAGCTCCGAAGCCCCTGTTTTCTTTCTTAAGGACTGTGTGATGGTCCACAACTCGCATCTGCTGTGGTTACAGGCAGGTTGCATGCTCTCAAAATTTTTATTATGATCTCCTTGCTGGTACTTAACTATAGACTTTTAATGCTGTTGTTTAGATTGACCTAGCAATCTTAAAGGTTGCCAAAGGCTGAGGACATAGTCTAAAGCCATGTAGATGTGGAAAGCAAGGGGAAACCTCCACATTGTTATCTCAAGAAACTTATCATAAAAGCTCCTTGATTACTTTAGTTTAAAAGCCTTAATTCATTCTTATATTCCTGTTTCTGTACTCTGGAAGAGATAGAGTGTGTGGACACAGTAAGTACATTAGAAGACCCATTTCTGTACATTGCGGCTGTTTGTGCATATGTTATTAGTCCTGTATTAGACTAATCGCTCGGCACTCTGGGTTATATGGTCAGTATCATGCCAGCCACTTTTGCTTCCCAGAACATTCCTTGCTACACAAGTTAGGATTTAATAAAATATTAAAATCTGGCGTTCAGGGGATTTCAGCTTCTGACCACCAGTCCTACAGGGAAGCGTGCTAGTTACTGTGCTATTACAATGTGTGTATATTATGTGGTGTAAGAATTATGAGCTATGATGTAATAGAATTGTCCTGAGTTCATGCATGTTTGGTGCACACATATTCACGTGCATGAAGTAGAGATGGCAGTTTCGCACATTGCAGATCCATAATTTAAAAGGGAGGGGGGGACCACAAAAGTTGGAAGGGAAAAAATTACCACAGCTCTTACCGGACTGTATGTGTGTTGAGCATAGTTGTTGTTGTTGTTGTTATCGATCCAGCGGCGCATGAGCTTTCGCCCTTTGGCCCAATGCCATGTAGTGGAATTTGCATGTTTTCACAAGCTGTTCTTTTCCTCCGTACAAGGTGTTCCACTTGTCTGGTCTCGGAGGGAGTAGCGTTCTTCTTGTCTCACTGAGTTTTGGGCACTCAAAGAGATGGTGTTCAACAGTTTCGAAGGGGTAGTTACATAGCTGCCACTCTGGGGAGTGTTGTGGCTGTATTCTGTTTAGGTGTCCATTGAGTGGAGTATGTTGCGTTCTAAGTCTGAAGATGGTGGCCTGGTCCCTTCTTGTTAGATGGTTAATGCTGTCATTAGGATCAGGGCCAGACATATGTCTATAAACCTCTCTTCCAGTGTCTCCCATGGCCCATCTGTTCAACCAAGTCTCTTTGTTTATAGCTCTTATCAGTGTTTTTTTTTGCTGTCTGGAGGGTTGTCGCTGTAGGTGGTTGTTCTTGTGTTGCTCCTTTCTTTGCCAATCTGTCAGCTCTGTCATTACCTGGTGTGCCGGAGTGACCTGGAATCCACTGCATCACTATTCTGATGTTGTATGAGGTAATAAGCTGATCGGCATCCAGGATTATCTTGGCTATGTCAGTTCTGCAGCGTTCATTGCCCTCCAGAGCTTGAAGGGCAGACATTGAATCTGTGAAGATGACAATATTTTGGACCTTTGAGGGGTAAACATCCATTACAGTCTTTAGGTGGTATACTGCTGTTTCCAGTGCAATTATTTCAGCTTCATAGTTTGAACAGAATTCCCCGCATGCATCAAAAATCTCTTCAACAGATCCATCGGGATAACCTATGTAGATTCCGTAACCTGCTTTAATGGTAGCTTTAAATGCTGATCCATCAGTATAGACATGTATCCATTCTTGGGGGTAAGAATCAACGGTCTTTAGTGATGAGTTCATAAGAGCGATTGGGTCGGACTGTTTGGTTTCCTCGCCTACCAATTTAGTTTGGACTTCTGGAGCTTTAAAGCGAGCATGTGGTGGTAGGTTTTTTGCAACATTCTGAATTCCTTGACGTCTTTCTGGGAGGTGGTATCTGTCCTGAATTTCATTAACACAGTGTAAAACCGATTTGTGCTTTATTCTTTGTTTGGGTTCCCAGTTTTCTACAAGATGTCTATTAGGATGGTTACGATTTTTCCTAACGCATCTTTCATAAATTTCTAAAGTGGCTTTTTCTCTCCGCAACCCGAGGAGTTCCACATTTGTATGGATTTCACATGCAGCAGTTGGTGTAGACTGCATAGCTCCGCAGATTAATCGGAGGGCATTATTTTGTACTCTGTCAAGAGTCTCTAGGTTAGTTTTGGAACAAGTTGTAAGCAGTGAGTTGTTGTACTCTATCACAGAGCGAACATATCCTAGGTATAAGCCCCTCAGAGTTTCCTTGTCTGATCCCCATGATGTACCTGCAAGTCTCTTTAATAACTGTAACAGCCTCAATGCCTTATTCCTGATGTTTTCAATATGGTTCTTGAGGCTGAGCTGCGGGTCAAGTGTGACTCCAAGGTATGTGGGATGCTCTTCTTTCATCACTTAGTGTTTGTCTAACCTCAGGTTAATATTCTTCCTTGCTACTTGGTGGCTTTTGGTAAAGATTGTGTAGACCGTCTTTGCACAGTTAATCTTGAGTTTCCATCTTTGGCAGTAATCATGCAGTCTTCTAAGGTCTCCATTCAGTCTTTGGGCTCCACTTTCCACATTTTCATGACTCTGCCATATTGCTAGGTCATCAGCGTACAAGGCTTTTTCGGCCTTGATTTGTTCTGGCAGGTCATTGGTAAAGATTAGGAATAGTGTACAGCTCAATGATGAGCCTTGTGGCAAGCCCTCCTCCAAGACTTCTTTAGAAGAGATTGCGTTGTGCATCTTAGTCTGGATTGTTCTATCTATCAGGAAGTATTTCACCCAGTTATACAATCTGCCATGTATTCCTATGCTCATCATCTTCATCAGGAGACCTTTTCTCCATACTCTGTCATAGGCCTGCTGGAGATCGACAAAGACTGCCACTGTGTGTTTCTTATTCTGGAAGCCATCATGTATTCTTTGTGTCAGTCTGAACAGCTGGTCTTCTGTGCAGCTGTTGGTTCTGAAGCCTGCCTGTTCATGGCATAGAACACCATAACTCTCAAGGAACCAATATAAGCGCCTGTTTATCATTCTTTCTGCAACTTTGCCCAAGCATGATGTTAAGGATATCGGGCGGTAGCTTTTGGGGTCATCTGGAGGCTTTTTGGTTTTAAGGATGGGGACGATATATGCATTCCTCCATGCCCTTGGAAGTTTGCTTGACCTCCAAGTTTTATTAATAAGCCTGAGAACTACTTCTCTCCCAGACCGGCCAAGATGTAGCAGCATTTCGTTGTGGATCTTATCTGGGCCTGGAGATTTTCTAGGTTTTAGTTTCTTCAGGGCTTGCTCTAGTTCATCCATGCTAAATTCATTTTCAAAAAGGGAGTCGCTGGCTGTTGGAGCTCTCTCTTGTTTCTTCAACTGAGAGAGCTGTGTTCTATTGAGTTCTGACAGCTTACCTGCTCTGTTAACTGAGGCAAAATAATGATTGAAATGTTCTGCTTTCTTCTTGTCTTCAGTGATTGTCTTACTCCCATCTGTCACTGGTTTTGGGTTCACCCTTCTACTTTCTCCGGAGAGGTTTTTAACTAAAGTCCATGCTTTATTTCTATTCTGTCTAAGGTCTAAGTTGGAGCAAGTTTCTGTCCATTTATCTCTTTTAGCCTTATTAACTACAAGCTTTACTCTGGCACATGCTTTATTGTATTGGATCTTTGCTTCTGTTGAACGTGCAGTTTCGAGAAATATTCTTGCTTTATTCCTTTCAGATATAGTATTTTGAATTTCTTGATTCCAAAAAGGTTTATATGCCTTCCGGCTGCCCCTTGGGATGGCTTTCGACGCTGCATTCAGGATTGCTTGTGTTATGTCTTCACAAAAAGTTTCCACACAGCTGTTGTCAATTCTTCCCAGGAGGCAGTCAGATGTTTCCTGAAATAGTTTCCAGTTTGCTTTTCGGAAATTCCAACGGGTTCTCTGCTTGAAGCGTAATTTAGGGGTGGTGCTTACAGTTGTGAGTATAGGTTTGTGGTCACTTCCTATGTCGTCCAGGACTTGGGGATAGCTTGCGTCTGCTAAGTCGGATGAGCAGATGGTCAGGTCTGGTCTGCTGAGAGATAGGTGGGCCCTGTGTAACAGTGTAGGTGTAGACTCTGTGTCCTGCAGCACTAATAGGTTAGTTGTTTCACAAGTATCTTCGATGTACTTCCCTGTGCTATTGTAGTCAGGGTAACCCCAACGTGGCGAGTGTCCGTTGAAGTCACCAACAAGAAGGGTTTTATGGTACTGTGTCTTGTATAGTTCTGGTATGTTGCATGTTGTCTGAGGTGGGCTGTACACGTTGTATATCGTATATTTGCTTCCATTGTGCCAGATAGTTATTTTTTGCACATCTGTAGGGTGAGATGTCGACAGCATTGTTACATCTCCTTGTATGTCATTTCTGATATAGGTCACTATGCCCCGGCAGTCATTGCACTTACAGGCATAACTAGTATATCCAGTGAGATGCAGATCAGAGTCTTTATGCAGGGTTTCTTGTAGGGCAGCCACGTGTACCCTGTGGTTGTTTAGCAGTTTGGCAAGTTCAAGTTTCTTATTTCTTATTCCACAGATGTTCAGCTGCAGAATATTGAGCATCTGTGTATTTTTTGCTGTGCTGTCGTGAGTTCTTTTTGCTCTCCCTCCCACTCTTCCTCCTCCAGTGGTGTCTGTTTTCCCTATTTATTTCAAATTTTCCAGTAGCCAATTTTTCGCACATGACAGCCTGGTTTCCCACTTGCGGGCCTTGATAGACGAGGCGACGACCGATCTCGTATGTATTCTTAAATTTTGACATATTCATGGCATTGTGGTGCTGGGGTGTCTGTGGATTACCTACCTCCCCGGGCAGCAGCTAGAAATGCCCTGTACCAGTTCTAAAGGAAATATGGGTTGTGTTTCTGCCTTCCCCTTTAACACGTAGCTAAGGTGGGGCTCACAGTGTTCTCATTCCCCGCCACCAGATTGCCTGCAGGTTTCGCTGAGCTCTTCATGTCTCTAAGCATGGCCTAAGCATGAGTAGTTGGGGCAACTGGATCGTCACGTCCTGAGTCCCTGTGCCTTCACGATAGTTTCCGGTATTCAGGGGGGTTAGCATACTTGTTTCCATTCCTAAGACTGTTCAGCACACCTCTGGTTCCTTCCCTCCCACAGGGGGCAGTACGGTGTGGTGCACCGGGTTTATTATCGAGGTTTGCTCCTCTAGATCCATTGTGTTTTGCCTGGGGATTCGCACCCCCAGTTACCGGGACTACCTCGGGGAGGCTGTGACTCTTTGCCACGCACAATGGTCTTGAGGTAAGAGAGGTTTTGCTAGGTCAAGAGGCTGACACCACAATGGACGCTCCTTTCGTGAACAGATATTCACTAGACCTAGGGTGAAGTAAGGGGGGGAACCCACTACCCACAACACCAACACTTCTTACCCCCTGCCTCTCGAGGCTCAGTCCCTGTTGAGCATAGAAACATCATTAGTACAGTATGACAGCCAATAGCTCTGTGCTTGACCCACATTTTCATAGACCCATCAGTACTTGATGGGTAGTGTGGTGAATATTACACCAGTTGTCTTTAACAGCTGAAGTTTACAGTTTTATTTCTTACATTTTCAGATGCACCAAAAGAAAGACAAAGAAAAAGCAAACAAGAAAAAGAAGAAACAACAGAGCAGAAAGAAAAGGAAGGGCAAGAAGAAAAGTTCAGAAGAGGATTCATCTTCTTCAGATAGCTCCTCATCTTCTGATTCATCTTCTTCTTCCTCCTCCTCCTCTTCTTCATCGTCTGATTCATCATCAGAAGAGGAATCAGATGAGGAGGAAAGAAAGAAAAAGCTGCTTAAGGAGGTATGCATTGTTTCATTGATAGTTTGTAAGTGATTCAGACAATTGTTATTCTTTTGCCATAGTTATATTTCCATGTTTTAACTGATAAAAAATGTCAGATATTTAATTTCTTTCAGATTTGATTCTTTAGATAAGATAACCACACTTCTTTTTCTTCTTCTTCTTCTTAGTCTCAAAACTGAAGTTGAAGCCATCTGATCAATACTCTGTGTATCAATGGGTGTATGTATGTATGTGTAAGCAGGTATATATCGATGGATATATGTGTGAATGAGAATGTAATTGTGTGTGTGTATTACAAAAGGTGACTAATTCGTGGTTTTGCTGAAAGGTTATGTGATGACCCAAAAAGTGCAGAGGTCGCTGTCTAGTTAAAACTGCAAAACAAAGAGTACCATTTCTACGAGGGAGTATAGGTTGATGATGTTACATTTAGACTTCATCACTTGTTGAATGTTGACTGATTTATCAGTTACTCTTCATAATGTAAGCAGGGATCTTTGCTTACTTTTACAAGGCATTGGTTTTATTGTTATTATTTTTTTTTTAATTATTGTTATTTTAAATTTTATTTTATTATTTTATTTTCTCAGGCATTGGAGGCTCAGAGACTACATGATGAGAAGATATCTAGACTTCTAAAAATGGATGAGCGGAAGAGACCATACAACAGCATGGTCGACGTGAGAGCCCCAACAGATGAGGAGATGGAGGCATTTAGACTCAAGCAGAGACGCACGGATGATCCAATGGCAGATTTCCTTGACAAATAAAGACAAACTTGTTTGGACTGTACAGAAGTGAAAATATAACCTGTTAATGGACATTCTAGATTTTGAACAGTTTTGCTTATTGTCATTTAAGAATATTATATTTTCTTGATAGGCCCAGGAAATTTGTGTGTCATTCTATTTGATAAATTGTGTCCCCAAATCATCATCCCGTGATACTACATGCCTGATCATCTTTTTCCACCTTTGGCAGTCAGTTGTGATGGACTTCATGGTTGCATGACTGAGGCTTGTCCAGTCAGTCAGGTTCTGTAACCAGGTCTTTCTTGGTCTGCCTCTTCTCCTCTTTCCCTCTACTGAGCCCTGCAGTATTGTTTTTGAGAGGCCGTTTGATCTTATTTCATGTCCATACCATCGCATTTTTCACCTTTTCACTGTATTTCAAGAGGCTCATAGTTGCCAGTGTGCTGTATAATTTTATGGTGAACCTCTTCATTTGTAATGTGGTCTGTATATGATATGCCAAGAATTTTTCTGAAACGTCGCATTTCTATTGTTTGTACTTTTCTTTCAAGTTTAGCCGTCAGGGTCCACGTTTCATAGCCATATGTAAATGTACTAATAGCTAGTGCTCTGAGCAATCGTATCTTAGTTTTACATAAAATGTTTTTGGATCTCCATTATGTTTGCTGCTCCCCATATATTTATTTATTAATACAGATTTTCAGTATTTTTGGATACAGCTGAAACATGGAGAAGAACTTTTAACAGTTACTAGTCAACTACAAGCACTCATTAACTGGTTCCTGTGCAGAATAGAGGGATTTGAATGACATGATAGATCACTATTGCAGAGCTTTGGAAAAAGTTTCATTGAATCAAGGGGTGAGGAAAAGACGCTGGGGTTGGACAGGACATACCTATAAGAAAACCCATAACAGTATAACAAGAGTGTCTATGCAGTAGAACCAACAGCCAAAGAATAAAAGCAGACACTCCCGCAAATCATGTATAGACGAGGGAAATAGTGGACAAACTGAGGAAGGTATGGGGTGAGCTTGCATTAGCAAAGGATAGGATGACTTGGCATGAGTTGATTGATGACTTTTGCTCCATGCTCCACTGAGGGTTGAGATTTGAAGAAGAATACATTTATATATTGCAAGACATTGAAAAGAAAATGAATTTGTACATGTGGCCTTAGATTTCTTATGCTCTAATGATTCTGTGAAGAGTCGCCGTGGCGTCGGTGGCTAGACAGCCGCCTGAAGGCCGGGGGTTCGTGTTCTGGCGGAGCAGGACTTTTTTTTTTTCTTCAAAAATGATCTTGACTCCCATTTCGACCCAGCCATGAGCGGGTACCAGGTGCCATCCTGGGAAGTAAAGGTGGTCGGCGTGATGCTGACCACATCACCCACCAAGTGCCGATTGATCTATAAAAGTATAGGTCTAGCCCCCATATTCCCAATAAGCCTAAAGGCGTGGAAAAGGAACCTTTATTTTTGACTTATGATTCTATCATTTAACAACTGCTCCGAGGCTGTTGTCTAATAATTTCTATACCCCTAAAAAATAGAAATATGCAAAAATGTGCAGTGATTATTTTGAGTCAATTTCGCATTCAGTGAAAAATCTGTAGCTCACTGGAGATTAATACTGGAGATGACCATTTGAAAGTGAAACGCATGCAGTTTGATGTTTTCCCAGTATTTTATCACCTCTTACCTCATGAAACTTTCCCATTTTGCTTTTTGGGCCGCTGCAGCACAGCACTTGAAAACCTCCACCTGATCTTTTCTAACATTTTCCGTTGTCTCAGCTTTGTCTCATGAGCTTAGAAGTGTCTGTCACACTATCCTTAGCTGCTTCACTAAAGCTCTCTTTGTCTTCCATGTCTGTTCGACCTCTGGAGTCCACCATAGGCATTTAAAAAAAAATTAGTCTTGACAGTCCAGTTGCATGCTGTCTGTTCGAGGCGTCCAAGGAGGGTGTTGAACCACTCATACCAGAAGGTCTTGCGGACTCTACCAGCCTAAACCTCACTAGATCATTCTAGGTGATCATTCCCATGGTCATCCAGAGAGTCCATTTAGCATCAAGAATCAGTGCCCGTGTCTGCATTGTCCGGTCCCATTACCATTCTATTCCCAATTCCAATTGATTAACACAAGTTCTAAAATTGATCCTTTTTCAACCGCCCGAAGGCCTGCTATATGAAGAAAGGTTTCTTGGCTATCTTATTTAGTTTCCTATTCTTTGTGGTGTGAAGTCACACCTTATATTCCTGTTCTTTGTCTTCCTAAGTCCGGTGTGACACTTGGGGTTCTGGGTCCCGGTCTGGTCCAGCTCTCTTGACTCTTATCTCTGTGAGTTTTTGCTGACTGTTGCTGGTGCTTGGTTTAACCCGTGCTGCGCTAGTGCCGAATTGCCAGCTGGGTTACCGCTCTGTGAAGCTTGCGGGGAAAAGCCAAACAAACACCACATAGCACCGTCTCCAACAATGTTCCTTTTCAGGACAACCAGGGCAGTCACAATCTGTTGTGATCAGCCCGTTTTTTTTTTTTTTTTTTTTTTTTTTTGCAGAGGGTGGAGTTGAAATAGATTGCAAAAAAAAAAAAAGAACTAATTGCTTGAATGTGCCAGGAGATTTGATAGTCATGTCGGAAGAATAAGAGTGACTGATAGCTTGAGAGAGAAGGGTTTCCGACGCTTGTACTTCTGGTGGGTTGCTATCCTAGTCGGCCTCCCATCCTTTATGCAGACCACATCGGAGTTGACCGTGGCATCTGCAAAGACAAATCCCTGTCAGTTTTCTCCGCTACTATCCCAGTCTTTGTTCCTCGGACTGAAGTCCCCACATGTGAGGAGCCTATCACTTAGTAATTCCTCCAATTCCTTGAGCTATTCCCAGTGTTCCCTTCTGATAGAACAGTCTACCGTGGCATATATATAGGAGGTTCAAATTTAAGCTACCAGTCTCAATCTGTATACTCTGAACCTGTCATGCACTGTACTTCCACTGGCTCAAGTACCACATGCACATGGGGTTTCATAGCAAAGGCGAATGGACGTCGCCTAGTGCAGCAAAGCCTTGTATATGATATCACAACGTCTGTTGTGAGAATGGAGGTGGAGGCAGTCTCTGCTGACTTGAGAATCAGCTGTACACACATGCCATGGTTATAACTGACAGAGCATGTTGAGAAAGGTGAAAACAGGCATGCTTCGTATAGAGTGGCAAGCCTACTTCAGAGGTTAGCATCTTTTGGATATTTTCTCCAGGTCATGCCGATGTGTTGGGAAATGAGCAAAGAGATAGACAGGTTGGCTCTGCACCACTTGGTGGTGAATTGATGTATGACAAGTTAGAAATTGTGAGGACCCTTTCGGAACATGTGTTGCTCCTGAAAATGGAGACTGAGCAATTATGGGAGTGTGCCTTGATGTCGACTCTAAATTCAACACTCAAGTACCACATGCTTTCCTCATACCTTCAACAAAAGTTCTTGTCCGCGTCTCCCCTGTCCAATAGTGTTTATCTAACTAACATACCCAGGGCAATGATATCTGTATGTATTTAGCTCCTGGAGCATGATGATATCAAAATCATAATTAACCTCTAGTGAAGAACCTCTCTGCCTGGCACCACGACAGTTCCATTATCCCACTTTTACATGTTTAAAACCTGATATCTCTGCTTTTTATCTTGTTCTCCTGGCGGCTGCCCTCCTATTTATGTGCCTTCTTTTCTCGCCATTCCTGGGCTATTCTTCCTCGCTCTCTTTTCGCTATCTGCTGAAAATAGCGTCTAGTGCAGAGCACGTGCCCCGTAGCTCTGGCGACAATTCTTATTTGTAATTAAATCCATAAGCAAAAATAGACTAATGCAGGAAAAGGTGGAATCGTACACCTATTTGGGCAGTAATGTAGATAAAGATGAAGGAACTGATAGAGATATTAAAATAAGAATACAAAAGGCAAGAGGAGCTTTCATAGCACTAGGGAATTTGTGGAGGTCAAAAGAAATAGTAAACTGAAAAATTTTCATTCTAGTGTCAAATCAGTACTTTTGTATCGAGCGGAAACATGAACAACTAAGGCAATTACTAATAAACTACAAACATTCATTAACTAGTGCCTGCGCAGAATAGAAGGAATTAAATGGTATGATAGAATAACTACTGTAGGGCTTTGGGAAAGAAACAAAACAGGCTCCAGTGGACCAAGAGGTGAGGAGGAAAAGAGGCTGGCGTTGGATAGGACAGACACAGAGAAAACAGGAGAACAGCATAACTAGAATGTCTTTGCATTGGAACTCACAGGGGCATAGGAATAAAGGAAGGCAAAAAAACATGGAGAAGAGAGCTGGAGAATGAAGTTAGAAAGATTGAGAGGACATGGGGAGAGCTCCATGCAATGGCGAAGGATAGAACGACTTGGCCTGAGTTGGTTGAGGACCTATGCTCCATTTGGGGATAGAAAGGCAGAAAAAGAATAAAGGAAATGTTCGGTCACCCTAGCATTCCCTGCATCCCACGGAAGAGACTCTTAAATGGCGAAGCAATAGAGGAAATTGAAGAATTTATTTGCCTCTAAGTAAAGTTACTCCAAATGGAGATTCTGAAAAGGATGTAACATCAAGAATAAGCAAATCAGATCAAGCATTTGCCATGCTTAACAATATATTGAAGTCAAATGAATTTAGATTGAATACAAAACTCAGAATATACAAGAGCAACATTTAATAAATACTATTATACAACAATGAATGTTGGAAAATGATAGCGGAAATTAAACATAAACTTGAGACTTTTCAAAATAAACATTTAAGGAGAATTCTACGAATATTTTTGCCAAAAAAGATCACAAATGAAGACCTGAGGAGGAAAACAGAATGTGCATTACTGGCAAATGTTATCAAAGCTGAAACTAAGATTACTAGATATTTGCATAAAGCCTTGTGACACTGGCAAAAACAGCTCTCCGGTGAACAGCAGATTGTAAAAGGAGACGTTGACGACCTAAGGAAACCTTGAGAAGGA